TGCCAACCTCCTGGCTGTTCCGACAGTTTGGGCTTCTCCGGAGCCGTCTGGTGTCTGGTGGACAATAGCTGGGTTTCCCCACCTCTCCTCGGTCACGTGGATGCTCCCCCGGAGCCGTTCTGAGGCGCTCGCACATCCCCACCTTTCCTGGCCGGCGGACTGGATTCTTGGTCAGACACTCACGGTTTCCCTGAGCTTCGTGTTTTCTTCATCTCGGGGTCTGGAAAGTATTTGGCGGTTTCCAGTGGAAAGTAAAACCAGAATTTCAAACAAAGATGAAGCGGGGAGGCTTACATAAACACGGGGGTTTGCTGCATTAAAGAGCAATCCTTGGAATACCGAAATGATTTTTGAATTTTTGGGGTTTTCAGGGTCTAGCTGATTTCAAAAGCCCTGAACATTCCTTTGGGGTTTTCTTCTTACCCGAGGCTGGCTTTCCCCGCTCCCGGCGCTGGGAGCATGGGTGGGCTGCCGGGCGCGCGGCGGGGGATGGCAGCCGTCCCCGCTGGGCTGGCTCTGCCTCCGGTTCCCTGGGTGTGTCTGCCCTGGCAGCCTTTTGGGACCAGGCGTATTGGCTCTGGGGCTGCTTCAAAATGTTATTTTCGACTTTCATAAGAGATCTTGATTAATAGTCTCTTTGTCCGTTAGGGTCTGACTTTGAGTGGCAAAAACCCAAGCTGCACTGATCTAAATCCCAGAGTTTCTTGGCTTTGGAGCCGCGTGTTGGAAAGGGCAGGGCCAAGGGGGCCCCAGAGATGCCTCGGACCAGGGCTGTGCCGGTAGACAGAGCTGGGATGCGTCCTGCACACAGCACAGGCTGGAGTCGCTGCCTCTCAGAGACTTCAGCATCTCGGCTGTTTTAGGCGAATGGGGGGCTGTGGAGTCGGTTGTTTTATTCCAGGGAATCCTGAAGATCCAACACCACGTCCAGGGAAAGGGGTGGAGGCCGGGCTTGCTGAGGGAGCCCAGACCCTTCTGGGCAGTTCAACAGGTCTTCTCTGGCTGAGGCGACACAGAATCCGATCCGTCGGAGAGGGAAGAAGTGTGGACCTTAGTCTCTTTAGATGGAAATGAAGCCATAAGACCGAGTAGGTGTCACACTCGGACTTCACACACACCTGGGAATTCTGGCCTGGGAGGGGCTTCTGCTGGGAGGAGGACGGGCTCTGTGGCTGCTCTGGTATTACTGGGTTCCTCTGCGCTGAGACCTCAACTCCTCGCTGGATCCCTGGGCGGCTGTGGTGGACGGCCTGAGCTGGGCGAAATCTGGGATTGGAACGGGACAGGCCAGGAATGGGTTTTCTGCCTACGTGTCAACGTGGCTCTGGAGTTGGCCAAAGAAGGAGTCTTCCTCATTTTTGAAATCGGGGGGTGGGGAATTCCCATCCATAACCTCAGGAAGGTACTTGGCGGGTGCGTGCTTAGTCCTGGGGAGGCCCCAGAAGGAGAGGCAGGGGGTCCTGGTCCTCGCTCTGAAGGGAAGCCACCACCTGACCTCAGGGTGACAGTCACACCCAGTGGTGTGGGGGCACAGCCTGCTGGGATATTAGGAAACGCCCATCTGACCTCATCCCTTAGTCCGTCCCCTCCATGAGGTATTTGTCAAAGGTGCCTAAAAACCAAGATCATGCTTCTTGGAGTGTACACGCCTTGATATGTCTTTACTCATCTGCTTGATCTTTCTGGTCCTTGGCGGTGTTTGGGTTGGATACCCTTCGCTGACCTCATCAGTCTAATCCTCCTAACACTTTTTCCTTGAATCCATCAGCATTTTACCTGAGTACCAGCTATGTGGGCATCCTGGGTGCCAGGAGAGATGCTGGAGTGTAAAGATGAGGGAGGGGCAGGTGAGGGATGTGCCCTGTCTACCATGATGCATGGGCCACGAAGACACCGGTCAGGCCAGGCTGCCCTGGGATCTGGCTCTGGACTCAGGCTTCTGAGAGGCTGTCAGCCCCCCAGGCCGCTCTGCGGAGGCTGAGGACCCTCTGAGGGCAGGAGTGGCAGAGCCCTCTGAGGGCAGGATCTTGGTTCCCATCCTAGAGCAGACGCATGCTTAGGCCTTGAACCAGAGTGGCGGGCGTGGGCGGGCGTGGATGAGACCTGGCGTGTGGACAGGGTCAGAGTGGAAACCGGGCGCTGGCTGTGCCCTCCTGTCCGGTGCCCCAGCAGACCGGCAGAGGCCGCAGGGCGCCATGGCATGCAGCCGCTCGCGTGGCAGGGGCCAGGTATCAGAAAGGCCACCGGAATATCATCGTGCCACTCGGCACCTGGCAAAACGTTGTTGAATGCGGATAAAGGCCACTTGCACGAAGCACAGCAGCGCCTCTGTCCCGGGATGGAATGGCCTGAGCCCAGCAGGCCCAGCGGCTTCCTCCTCCGTCTGGAGCGCCGGGCTGTCCCCATCAGACAGCCCTGGGCGGGGAGGGGGGAGGACACGGGCAGGAAATTCTTTCTGCTTCACCCCAAGCCGGTGGCTGCAGCTCACTTCCCCACGTTCCATCCGCGGAGGTGAACGCGGCTGGCCGGGGCCCGACTGCCACGTGGCTCTGAGGAGCCAGTGATGCCTCTGCTGGGCCTTTCATTCCTGGGGCCCTGACTTCGGGTTTGTCCTTTTTGTCTGTAGAGCGGCTGCTCACGGGAACAGAGCTTTGCAGAATGCACCCATTAGGAAAGGTGGGAACGCTGAACGCTGTTCGGAAGGTCATGGGCTTCATCTGTCCAGCAGAGAGGGTGGTCTGTGGTGAGTTTCTGAGAGCACGTGAGCCTAGTAAGGAGCCACGTTGTCATAGCTCACCGTTAGCTCTCAGAGTGTGGACCCTGTAACACGGAACCCAGCCCACAGCCCCCAAAACCAACTCCACCTCCTTCTGCCTCACGTCACATCTAGGGGACGAGGTCACGAGGCCTACACACACTGTGGGTAGAACACACTGTCATGTTTCTAGCCCCAAGAATTAGCTTTCGGAATCCAAGTTCATGCACACTGGCCCTTCCTCTTCTCGTCCCGTCCTTTCTGCGTAAGGCAACGATGACGGTCCCTCGGAAGCATCAATCGTGATATCAATCATGATATCAATCTTAAATATCAAAGTCAGTGGGAACCCGGGGAATGCAAACACCTACACAGGTCACCATGGTGTCTTTTCACTCGGCCCCGTTGTGGGTGTTGGGGTTATGGCGAGAGGCGGTGTGGGGGGTTATTGGCTTAAGGACGCCAGAGAACCTACATTCAGAACTTTTATAAGGAGCCTGACCCCAAGGTTGCCCCGAAGGCATGATTTCTGGGTCGCCCAAAGGCCTCTGTGTTCAAAATCAGCCTTCACTGGCTCATGTGTAAGGCCTCGAACGCTTATGTTGGGAAGTCACGCCTCGTGCTCCGGTTTGGCTGTGGGGGTGCAGGTACCCGGAGAGGGCGCAGTCACCATCAGGAAAGCGTTGCTTTCACACCTGCTTCCCTGGAGAGACTTGCTCTGTGGCCCTGTCTTTGCGTCGGTGTGGGGCAGGGAACCTGGAGCGGTGCCTGCTGTCTTGGGAAAAGGTATTGGTGGCAACGAGAACAAGTAGGCGACAGGGGCAGAGAAGGAGGAGTTCGTAGGGAAGCCTCGGGGGAGACGCAGGGAACGCAGGAAGGGGCACTCCTGTTCTCGGCAGAGAAAACCCTGCAGGTCCTCATGGGCAGAAAGGTCCGAGAGAGCGAATGGAGAGTAGCCGTGAGCGCTCACCAGCCATGCACACAGACCGTGACCCTCCCCTGCTGTGCACAGAGACTGTCGTCCTGGTCTCCCCGCCCCGTTCCGCCCGCGCCTCTGCCACCGCCCGCGCCTCTGCCATCGGCCCGGAGCCCCCGCTTAGCTGGGACTGCCCTTGGCTGCCCCCGTGCCCGCAGCCCGACAGCGCTCTCCGCTCCAGCACAGCACTTTCTGATGCTTTAAAATCATCTTCATAACTTTTTCTTTCATGCTTTTCTATTCCTTGAGTTTCTCTGAGGGAGGCCACAGGCGCCTCCCCTTCCCCACAGGCTTTCCCCAGAGGCGGCGGCAGCTGTGGGCGAGGACGCGGCGGGTACAGAGTCAGCCGCAGGTGCCTGGGCGGGGTGTCCGTGCAGGCTGTCCGTACTGACCCCTGTGGTCATCACCTACGCCCGCCCTCCCCTCTCTCCGTCCAGCGTGTCCACATCCATTTTTCTTAATGTTACTAAGGTTAAAGCGTTCTGGCTTTTTTATTTGTACTCCCTCTCCACCCCCTACAATGCCTTGCATCACTGAATAATCAGCTTCAGATCCTGGTTTGCCCCAACTTTGTTGTGCGAATTTTTACCTTATATTTATGTCATGTGGCATTGCAACATCACTTACATATTGTGTTTCATTTTGGCTAGTTTTTAAAAATGAAGAAAAAAATTTTTTTTAGAACCTCACAATTAAAGATAAAAATGCAATGTCCTTAATAACTTGGTTTTCTTCTGTGACAAAACAGGAAATACTAAGTTAGCTCCTGCAGATAAAGCCAGAGGCGTGCCTACCCCTCAGACGGCAGCCCTGGCTGGTGGTGTTTGCAGAAACCGGTGCTTCTGCTCCTCTTGCAGACGGGGCGTACCTTCCCGGTCAGAGTGCTCTTGTCATTCTCCTCTGAGGCGTGCAAAGGCCAGGTCACGGCCCCAGGCAACATGCTTATTAACATAGAAAGTCACTGAGTGTATGAAGCCTCTGGGGAAGAGGTCACATGACCAGTTGTGTATTCTCACACCAGCGAGGCCACGTGAGCCAGCGGAGAAGGCCCGGGGTTTATTTCGGTTTGTTTCTCTCTGGTTTAAACTTACCACCCACAGCCATCCAAGAACGCTTCAGAGCCTGTGGGTCTGGTGTGTTTGCGTTGCTGTCATTCTGTAGCAATGTCTGAACGTGCCTGCGCGTACAGCCGTTCTTGCTAACCATGTCAGAGAGCTCCCTTCCCCCGCCCGCCATGCCCGTCGGTTGATAGTTGCGCTGTTTGCATAGCTGACCACCCGCTGAAGCCGAGGCACGTGAAACTGCTGTCCGCTAAGACGGGCCTGAAAGTCACGTGGGACCCGCCCAAAGACGCCAGCAGTAGGCCCGTGGAGCGTTACAACATTGCCTACGGGAAGTCCCTGAAAAGCCTTAAGTACATCAAGGTGAATGCAGAGACGCGGTCCTTCCTCATTGAGGACGTGGGTAAGTGACCTCCGGGCTCCTTCTCAGTCAGAGCCGCCTGTGCGCCTGTTCCCGGTTCCGTGAGCCAGGGGTGGCCAGACTCACTGGCTCCTTGGGGACGGGAAGCCAAGGGCATGAGTCTGTTGCTTACGGTCTTCCTCCTGCCGTGGGCCTTCCTGGGCCTCTCTCCCCACTGATGCCGGAAACAATTTTTAGGTCAGATTCCTTCCTCATGGCTCCATACATTTCTCTGAGTCTCTCCCACATCCCCCCGGCCCCACGGAGTCCAACTGGGGGCTAAGTGGAGGTTCTCCTGGACCAAAGGCAAGTGCAGGCTCACACCTGCTTGCTCAAAGCTTGGGTTGTTATGTGGCCGCCGAGAAGAAAAACATGCAAATGGAGAGACTCCGAGCTCTCTGAGCAGCAATGTGTCCCAAGCAACTCTGATGAGCTAACTCAACGGAAGCAGAGACGGGTATTAAATTTCTCTGAAATACAAATAAGCTCAGGACGAAGAGAGAAAGTGCCTGGCAGAGCATAATTTCACATTCAGTTCGAACCTGAAGCATTTCCTGGTTAGTCTGGCAAGTCATGCCAAACCCTAAATGCCACCAGACCCTGCCATGGTCAGAAAGAGGCCATGGGAGTCCCGCACAGCAGGTGTCCCCCACAGTACGGCCTTGGCCTTGCGGCTGTATCCTGGGGCTCTGGCTGGAGCACTGAAGCCGTTAGGGGAATGCTGCTCACGCTGAGGAATGCCCGTACCATGATGGCCTTCGATGGAACTAACATCTCACCATCCATCCCCTCACATGCCTGCCAGCTTCCATCTCCTCAAGGGGCTGGCTCCTCTTACCTTTCTTAAGATAATAATTCATCTCGAGGAAAACCAGCAGCGCTAGAGTTTTCTTTCAAGGTGGCAAGTTCAGGGCTAACTTGGTGTCTTCGTTCCCTTCCACATCCCAACAACTCCAGCAGCTCAACCAAAGACACCACTGCCATTTGACCTTGACCCCTAGATCCAAGTAGAAAGGGAAGCCCAATTATTTCAAGATTAGCATTAACAAGATCCCAGGAAATATTTTTTTCTAGGTGTTTGTGGAAAGAGTCAAAGACCACATGCAGAGACAGCAGGGGTCTGTTTAATTGTGAGAAGGGACATATTTCATGAAGCTTTATTGACTGCCTTGAAGAGTCCCCAGGTGCTACTCTTTATGAGTTATGTTGACATTTTCTAATTATTTTGGAAGATTTCCCTTGGGGGCTTTCATGAGGAAACGTTGTTTGTAGTTACAGACACGGTCGGTTGAAACATGGATTTAGTGGACAGTGTGCTCCTACTTCCTACATTAATGTCACGTTAAAAGGCTTAAAAGCTTTTTTTGTTGACTGCTCACAAATCCAGGTTTAATTCACATGCCATGTATTTTGTAATAAATAAATGTTGTGTTCTCTGGTCAGGTATATTTCTGTTGCGTGGGAGGGATGTTAGTCTTTTGGTTAAAAATAGAGACAGCTATAGTTAGACTTGTCACTAAATTCAAATACTTATGTTTGGTTGTAACTGGTATAAGGAAGACAGCGAATCAAGCTGTCGTTCTTGGAGATTTGAAACGGGGCTTGATCCAAACCGTGTGTTTCAGAGCCGGGGGTAGTGTACTTTGTGCTGGTCACTGCAGAGAACGACAGTGGAGTGAGCCGGCCCGTGTACAGAGCGGAGAGCCTGCCTGGTAAGTCTCACCTAGGATGAGAGGCTGTGCTTCTGTTACTGAGATAGGGAGAAGCGTCCCTCCCAGCTTCACGCCAATGCAAGTTTATTGTAGAATCATTAGCGTTAGATTTGTAGAACAAGCTGACAGACTAAAAACTGGGAGAGATTTATCCCTTCTTTCATTGTCAGTTAATGTAGGTGGTTAGCGTTTTTGTTGTAAATTCTTAAGTGCTCACTAGAACAAGTCATGTGCAAAAGACTAAAAGGATGTGTTGTCCATAGAGCTTAGGTGCTGAGTCACTAAACTGGCCCCAGGCGGTCCCTTTTAAGCTTAGAGCAATGTTTGGGATGCTCTGAATGGTCAGAGATGCTCTGAATGGTTAGGGATGCTCTGAATGGTTAGGGATGCTGTGAATGGTTAGGGATGCTCTGAAATGTGGGAGTTCATCCGGACCTCGTTTCTAACTATCAGGTTGCATTTTCCTAATTTAGGAGGTGAATGGATCCAGATTGATGGTCTCCCCATTAAGGGTCCAGGACCATTTAATGAAACCGTCACAGGTACTATTTGCTCATCCGGTTCATGTCTTCACTGAGGCACCGTCTCTCGAGAGGGTCGTGCTTCTGTCACACACATGCGCTCACAAACCTTCACCCAGTCCCCATCGCTGAACTAACGCGCACGCCGCACAGTGCTGGTCCACCTGCCGTGTACCCAGGGGGCCGGTCCGCAGCCAGTGTCACTCATTCCTCACTGTTCCCTCATGTCCTGGTGTCGGGAGGTGTCTGTGTCTACATCTGGGGGTACCCTATGCTATTAACACTAACTTCCAAAAAAATGTGGTGGCGGAGATGGCAGTCCTGGCCTGACGGGTTGGCATAAGCAGATGGGACCCACCCACCGGTGGCTTTTATTGGCTAATCCAATGCAGCGAGTCCTTCTCTTCTTAAAACCATGGGCTAGTTGGTGAAATGCTAGATGACCTGCCTTCCATCTCTGCTCCATATTTGTACATGTATGTTTTATCATTGGGATGTTGGTGTTGTCTAATCATGTGGTTTTACTTGTTGGGAGAAGTGTTGACATTTCTGTGTGTTCCTTGAATATATTTAATTAATGATGCAAAATGATGGAAAATGCATGTGGTTATTTTTGAGTATGTTGGCTACTGTCTCGAGGCAACAGGGAGAGGAGCTGGGTTTTATTCTCATAAACCATGCATTTAAATACATCAAACTTACGCTATTGAGAGGAAGGTGAGTATATTAGAAACAATGACTCTGATCTGCTTCTCAGTTAAGATTTGGTGGGTGTGGGCAAATTTTATGTGGAAAGGGAGGGAGGAATAAAACGTTAGGAAAGGAAACTGGCTTTGGAGGAGGGGTGATTCGTTCTTCACAGATGCCGGATGTCAGGGGAGCGTGGGGCGCTGTGTGGAGAGGCCTGCTGGCTGCAGAGGAGGGAATGAACGCTGGAAGAGAGAAGTCCGAGGCAGACTGGCTGGAGGAGGCACGCGGGAGGGAGAGTTGGAGGAGAGAGGGTACATGAGGGCGAGGGTTAGCAGAGGTGAGAAGAAGGCGAGGAGCACAGCTTGGAAGACATTGGCAGAGATAGTCAGAAGGTGGTTCAGTGAGGCCATGTGTACAACGGGACAGGAAGTTTATTCCAGAGGTTTCCGCCCCTGAAGACACACAGGTGACCATTCACAAAGACCTCATAGCTCCTTCGAGATGCAAATCCACATCCTTTTGTTTTGTCCCCAGGAGAGGTGTCCAGGTATTGGATCCTCTTACTGACCTCCCTGCAGACTTCTCTTCTGAGGTTGCCTTAGATTTCTCCTGTCCCTGGATCTGAGCTAACCTGTTACGCACAGAGACAGGCACTGGGGGGCGAGGCCAGGAGGCCTGACTGCTTCCCCCAGCCAAGGACACAGCCGCCAGTTCGCCTGCCTTCGCCCCGCTCTTCCCTGGGAGGTTTGAGGCTCCTTGGGATCATTTGCAGTTTCAATACCGCTGCCTCAGGGCATGCTCAGCTCACACTGGGGCCAGATCATGGGGTCAGCGAAAGCCAAATTACCAATCAGACAGTGTCCTCTCCGCACAGAGCAGTTTAATTAAGGTCTTCGGCCAATGGGGAAAGAATATTGCCTCTGGCATTATTTCCTTGAGCGACTTTCAGTTTTATTACGTATGCAATTTTGAGAGCAAATCTCAGTTCCTTGTTCATGGCCGGGATGGTGAGCCCTTCAAGGGTGGTCTCTTAGATTTGCTCCTCTCCGCCTCCGGGGCCTGGGACACGCGCCTGGCATCGCTCAATACGTGTTTACTGGAAAGGCGCCAGAGGCCACTTCCTTTGTGTGGGCCAGTGTGGGTGCCGAGCGAGGCAGGGCCGTGTCAGGGGTCAGGTCACCTATGCGTCAGCTGCTGATGCTGGGGTGGTCCGGGCGGGCCAGGCTGTCCAATACTGAGTGCTGCTCTCATTCCCCCGACACCCTCATTCTCGCCTCTGGTCCCGGGGCCTGGCTGCGGAGCGGCTGATGCACCTGCGGACTGGGTTCCTCCCGGCCGGCGGGGCCGTGAGGAGGACTCGCTTACAGTCAGGTCTGCGCGAAGTGCTGGCGGGTGGTGTCTGCGGTGAAACGCGGGTGTGGTGGCAGGGGCGGCACAGCCCATGCAGAGGTCCGGCAGGGCTCCGAGGGCAACAGGTACAGCCACGCTGAAGCGCTGGATGGCTGAGCTCTGAGTGCGGGCGGGGGTGCCCTCACCTTGGGGTCCAGATGGAGCCCTGACCAAGTGTCAGGCTTTGGTTTTCTGGTTACTGTGAGGGTTTTTGTCACCTGCCTGATGGCTGGTCGGGGTCCAATAAATGATGAAGGTGAGCGACATTCTGACAGACACTGTTCCAAAGTAAAGAGGTGGGAGCCCCTTCCTCCTCGTAGGTAGATGGCTGGCCCGCCCAATGCCCACCCGCGCTCAGTAAACAGAGAAAGTGCTGGGTGGCCGAAGGGAGAGGAAAATGCTCAAGAGAGATGGCCGAGTGAGCCCTGCGGGGCTGAGAGGGGAGGGACGCCTGAGAGTCAGGCACAAAGGCCTCAGGGGGCACGGTCAGAGCTCACGGGGAAGGAGCCTGGCAGACGGAGGCGGGAGGGAGGCGTTTGCTGACCCACCTCGGCAGCCGTCCGTCAGCTGGGGGTCTGGGCCCGGGTCCGGGCAGGGAATGCAGACTCAGAGTGGGGACAGCAAAGCACATGTTCTGTATTCTGGTGGTGCCTAACCACCTTCACCTTCTCCAACTCATACCCACCCCACCCCCGCCCACAAGCCCCCTCGTCCTCCTCATGCTGATGCACCCAGTGCACTGAGCCTGGGATGGCCCCTGGCCCGACAGGTGGGAGCCGAGGGCCTGGTTCCAAGCCGCCCAGGGGATGTGATGCTGCCGCAGGGTGAGGACCACCTGTCAGCCTGAGGGTGGGTGCCCTCCTGCCCACAGCCAGGGGCCCTGGCGGCCCTGAGCCCTGATGTGGGGATGGTGGGGACGCTGCCTGGGGCTGAGGGTGGCGAGCGGAAGGCCAGTGAGCACGCGGGCCCGCCTTTTTCAGAGGGTGAGGACCCAGGCCCTCTTTGAGGAGCGTGGAGGTCAGTGCAGTGGGTGTCGGGCGTGAGAGGGTCAAACCGCTTATTCTCCAAAGCCGTGGACTGAATGACCCCTCACACTCAGCCGGGAGAGGAGAAGGTCCTGCCAGCTGGGCCCAGGCCCAGGAGCTGATGGCGGGGACTCATCTTGGCGCCAACAGGAGCAGGAAGGGACTGGCTGGAGTGACGGACCGCTGCTGGGTGTGGATGAAGACAAGCACAGAGCTCTCAGTGCACGTGCCAGGAGCTGTCTGGACAGAGACAAGCTCATATTTGAGGTTTTATTGTAAACACCGGTGACACTAAGTTCTTTGAAACACATGTATGTAGTGTCCCTCGTGTGCAAGGCATTGTGGGAGAATCTGTAATGGGTCCCTGGTTTCCATTCTGGGGGGCTGCCCACACATCCAGTGAATCTGATGAGGGGTTTCATTTTTTATCACAATCACAACCCCAATTAGCAATTAAAGTGTGCTTCACATATGCTTTACATGACTTTTATATTACAAAACACAATACGCTGCACGCCATTCCTACACAAGGGAGGAATGAGAGTGGGTGGGAGCCTCAGAGTCACGCAGACAGCAGGTAACAGACCGACACTGGACTGGAGAGCCTGCGGGAGCCCAAACCAGAAGCTACCACGCTTAACGGGCACCAAATTGTAAACCTAAATGGACAAACATCGTGCTGAATTTTGGATTTTTTTTTTCAAGAACAGGTTTTGATTTTGTGCAATTTAGGAATATTTGCCCGCTTGTGTAGCTGACAACACAATTTAGGAGACGTGGCTGTCTGGCTTTCTGAAGTCTAATCTCAACAGTCCTTGTTTCCGCTGTGACCCCCAAGGGGACGGCTGTAATTAATGGTGTCAGCCGGCTCTGAGGGAGGCCCGCCTGGTGCCGGGCCGGGCGGCGAGGGCCAGCGTCCTGCCACGTTGGGGCCCACACAGCAGTCCACGTGGGAGAACGGGATTGCTCCCGGCACTCTGACATTTGTTTTTCAGATAAAAGCCTTCCTGGGGTTTATTAGAGAATTTCAGGAGCCTTCCATGAGGCTATTCCATTTGGCTTAGACAAACACTTAAAAAATCTCAGCCCCAGTGAATTCGAACCATCTGGATAGTTTTCTTAGTGTGCCCATCAGCTTAGAGAGGATTAGCAGATGGCTGTAACGGATCCATAAAGATGCCTGACGGTGTGGTGTCTGATGGGAAGGGACTTGTTCTCCCGATCTGTGTGAATGAGCGTCTCTGTCATTCCCAGAATCACTTGCAGGTCCTTGATTGTTCTAGAAGCCACACCTTGAAAGGGAGCGCTCACCTGGGAACCTGAGCACAAAACTGAGATCAGTTCACAGAACCCAGTGCAAGTGGCTGCACGCCCAGGTGCAAGGCGAGTTGTATCAGGTGGCCGTTGGCTACACGATTGGACTCAAAACCCAAAACCTTTCTAAGCTGCACTTGGGACGGGGAAAACGTTTGTGGACCCCACCCCCCACCCCCCAGCATGCTCCGAGGAGCTTCAGGAACGGGATGCCCGGTGGCTGGCCGGGTAACCCCAGCTAGTGAGCAAAGGGCCGTTCCCTTTGGCAGGTCCAGAACACGGACCAGGCGTCCTGCTTCCGGAAGAGCCATCTCCAACGGCTACTGACTGACTTACTGCATCACTGGAGCTCACACTAACCCGTGGCATTAGGTTGTGGATTTCCCAGTCTGATACAATTAGGCAGCATCGAGGATGGGGTTAATGTATATGGTGGAGGAAGAATGCTGGGGAAGTCCCTGGCTTACAGAACTAGAGGTTCTCTCACTGGCCTAACGGGATCCCCAGATAGGACCAGGATGTGGTCTGCTGTCGGCAAGGGACAATGGAGCCGTCACATGGCCTGTGGCCCTTGTTCCCAAACTTAGCAGTTCTTCATCGATGTAAAAGCAACGCTTCAAACACTGGCCCCAGAGCGTGCTGCTTTGAGAAAGCTTACAGTGGGAGTGTTTCTTGAGCTTGACCGTTTTAGCAAGAGGACTTCTCGAAACGTAGAAGCAGGAACAGCGGAGACAGGTGGCAGCCATGGCGGGGCGGGCCCGGGTCTGTCTGGAGGGCACATTAGACATATCAGAAGAATTAAGATCAAAACCAGGAGCCAGTTACTATGTGGGCCGGAGTGATTCACCGCCAAGGCCAGGAAAGCCCTCCCGGCTTTACGAGGGGGCCCCCTGCAGGGCAGTCAGAGCAGCGCTCCTGTGTGCTGCTGAACGGTCATGCTGACCTCCTGCTCTCACCAGGGAATGTAGAGTTTTGGCTTTAGAGGGGCAAAGGAAGTGGATGAAAAAGAACATTTGTAAACTCTCAGGACCTCTGGATGGCGTCTCACGCACGGTCGGTTTCCACAGGAAGTCCCCGGGGCCTCGGCCTGACTCACGGGAGGAACCCGGGCACCAGGGTCGGCGCCCTCGGGGGACGGTGCTCTTCCCGGAACCGCCCACCTACACGGATGTCTAAAGCCAGCTGCGTGATGGCTGCGGCTCCGTCTCTGGACAGACTTTCCATCCGCACTGGTGGGCTCCGAGGGTATCCTGTTTAACAGTTTCTGTGTCGTGTTTCTTTAAGAAAAGGAAGTGCCAAACAAGCCCTTGCGTGTCCGAGTCCGACCCTCAGAGGACCGGCTGTCCGTTGCGTGGAAGGCGCCACGCCTGTCCGGAGCCAAGAGCCCTCGCCGATCGCGGGGCTTCCTTCTGGGCTACGGGGAGAGCGGCCGCAAGATGAAGTACGTCCCCCTGGGCCGAGAGGAGCGGGCGCACGAGATCAAGAAGCTGGGTGAGTGGCGTGGGCTGGCGCCAGGGTTCGGTGGGCTTCCCGCCACTCCGTGTTCAGAAGCTCCATCATGACCAGCGTCGCAGCTCGGTCGTGCAGCTCATTCTCCAGGTATGATGGTGATTCAGAACGAGGTTCTGTCCGGTCCTCCGCCTGTGCGCCTGCCCTCAGCCTGCACTCAGCGAGGTCGCGGCTGCCTTTGCGCGCTGGCCCGGCAGCTGCTTCCTGCCTGCAGCCCATCCCTGGCGCGGGGTCCTTTCCCGGACGTGGGATGGGCGCTCATGCGTTTTGCATGTTGGCTCTGCCTTCACCATTTTGCTCCCCAAGCTTTGCCTGAGGTCCTAGGACCCTGGGCTGTGGGCCCCGCGAGATGAAGTGTGGGGGCAGCTGATGGAGCCTGACCGTCGGCCTGCCGTCCCCCCTCTTCGCAAAGCCTCGTTGGGGGGAGGAAGCACTGGCCGTGGGAGCTGAGGGGACAGTCGCCGTGACCAGGAGAGGTCTGGCATCAGTCCAGGCCTGGCCTTTGCTGGCCTCGGTGGGTGACCGGCCTGGACATCAATGTGAGAGACACGTCAATCGATTGTCTTCTGTACTCGCCCCGACCGGCGATTGAACCTGCAGCCCAGGCTTGTGCTGACGGGGAACTGACCGGCAGCCTCTCGGTGCACAGTATGACACCCAACCAGCCGAGCCACTCTGGCTGGACTCTTGGTGGTTCTCGGTCCATGCTGGTCACTGCCCTCCAGGCTTAGCTACGTAGGCACGTCCCTGGATCGGGAGAGAAATGGCAGCATTCTTCCTTTGATGACTCAGCATGTTCCACTGTCGGTGGCACCCAGGCATTCAGGGATCTGAAGTGAGTCCTCCACTAGGCGCTGACCCGGCACTGTGGCTGCTCTCGTCTCCTCTCCCTCCTGTTTGATGACAGTTAAGAGAGTCCCCCCTTGTCTCTATTTGGAAATCAGAGGAAATTGGGGGACTTATGTGGGCATGTATGCAATCCCCTTCTTTTTAAGGCCTTGTTCATCTTTGATGCTGATGAGATAGAAACCCATTTTCCGGAATAACTGGTGACCACCACCTCCACATATCCCACCATAACAGTGTTCTTCTTGGTTTAGTTTCTACCATTGCTTGGGCTCAAATTCAATTGCCCGGAAGAAGGGAAATCCCTAGAAAGATGAGCTGGGAGCGGGAGAGAGGAGGGGGCCGAGGCCAGAGGGCTGTGTCCCGGGAACCGGCCGCAGAGCCTCACTCCGGCGCCTCGTCCACAGCCTCCGAGTCGGTGTACGTGGTCTCCCTGCAGTCCCTGAACTCGAGAGGCCAGAGCCAGCCGGTGTACAGGGCCGCCCTCACGAAGCGGAAGATCTCAGGTATGTTTCTAAGGACGCATCCGGTCAGCCACGGTCCAGTGTGAATTCAGTGTTGTTTCCAAATGGGGCTGCCAGGCGACGAATTCCGTGGATTTTCTTGAGGGTAAAGGAAGCAGCAGGGCAGCTTGGCCACGTTTTGGAAACAAGTGTGTTTCTGCTCTAGCCAGAGGGTGAGGGATTCTTGTGATGAACTCTAGTTCTCTGTGTATTCTGACTGTCTTTACTGTGCCATAAGAGCAGCCACACATTTATTCCATCTAAGGGCACAGTGTGATCCCCATGGAGATGTCCCCTGGTGCTAGACTGAAGAGAGAGAGGGAGTGGATGGGGTAGCGTGCAAGAATGCAGGGAAACTTTATTTCAGCTAAACTTGAGGAACAATGGCAGCGAGAAGAGTGAGAAAGGATGTAGGGATGGTGTGCTGATAGCCTGATCTAAGATATTTTTCCACATTTGTTCACAGAGATTTTCTATAGTACCCATATATAACAAATTACATACATCTTTTCCGGTTCCTGGGCCTTACCTAAAGAGGTAACCTGTAGCATAATTATTTTATGAACTTATAACTTATTTGTTAATTATAGCTTTATATTACAAAATGTTATTATATAATGTTATATATAATGTTATATATAATGTTATATATATTATATATTGCCTAACAACAGGCCCATATACGGGATTTTTCACCTTTATTGGTCATTAGTTGTTGCTCTCCAAGAAGTCACTATATCAGTTTCCTAAGGCTAAATATTTCCACCTTTTCCTACTTGTAGTTAAAGCCACAAAACACACACACACACACAAAACCCCAGAACAAAAACCAAACCAAAACAAACAAAAACACCCCAGAAGCCTAAGAGACTCAAAAGCAAGCTTGAAGACATCTTGTGTTTCAGTGGGTTAGTGACTGAGCAGACTGTGAGGCTGAGTCTGTGATGTGTTCTACCGGAAACCGCAGGCTGAGTTCTCTTTCGTACGGAATAACACCCGTGCCTTTGCCTGGCGCCCGCGCTGAAATGTGAGGGGCCGGCCCCTGTGATTCACGCTGTTGTTGGCACCAGAATTTCTGCTTCGTGCCACGATCGCCAAGGAAACGCTTCCCTGAGCTTTTCCTCCCTTAAAGTTTTGCTTCCTGTAAGAACTGGATTATTTCCCGGAAACGTTCCGTGTCTGCTGAGGAGACCCGAGTAACTGGGAGTGTCTGACCCCGGCCCAGCCTCTCTCTTGTGCTTCACGGCCATTGGGTTGGGCAGTTTGCAAGGGACTGCGCTTGAGAAGGGCAAGCGTGGAGATTCGGGTTTCTCTCCAGGGACCAATCAAATCATTGTTAACTTCCTGTTCACTTCATGTACGGCCCCGGGGGAACTGCACTCGGGGCCGGGGGAACGGCGTGGAGTTACTGCCGGGACAGCCTTGCCATGCGCCCACTGTCGTTTCAGAGGAGGAGGAGCTGGACGTCCCTGAGGACATCAGCGTTCGTGTGATGTCGTCCCAGTCTGTGCTGGTGGCCTGGGCGGACCCGGTGGTGGAGAAACAGAAGAAAGCCGTGACGTCCAGGTACTTTCCTGACCTCCTGGTCTTCCTTGTCTGTGTGAGACGTGGGCTGTGCGGCCCCAGAGAGACTGTATTTACTTGAGGGATGTGATTTTCTGACATCTCTGAGGGCTGGTGGTTTTTGAAACCGGACAATAGACTGTCCTGTGGCGATGCAGCTAACCTTGAACGTGGCCACACATCCCCACGGGCAGCGTGCCACCAGGGCCTCGTGTGTGATGCACAGGGCAGCACCTCACATCTCGCCTTCTCCGCCTCATCCTGTGTCTGCAAATCCTACTTCTCTCTTTGCCCCCCTTTGCTTTGCTGTGCCTTATTAATTCTGTATTTGAAAAAAATGTATGTTGTTATTGATTTCAGAGAGGAAGGGAGAGAGATATACAAACATCAATGAGAGAGAGAAGCATTGATCGCCTGCCTCCTGCACGCCCCCTACTGGGGATCGAGCCTGCAACCAGGGCATGTGCCCTAGTTGGGAATTGAACCGTAACCTGGCTCATAGGTCAGTCTCAATCACTGAGCCACACCAGCTGGGCATTAGTGATCTATTCACGTGTAGAAGCTACAGGCCCACGTGAGGAGGAGCCTGACCTCCCTCAGTTCCCCATGGAGAGTGGCAGCAGGCAGACGCAGGCTCTCCTGAGAGAGGTGGGCCTCCGTCTAACCCTCGCGCCCTGTAGTTCCTCTTTAGATGTCTCCAAGCACACCCTGCCTGGTGCAGCTCACTGTGCATAACAGACGAACGTATTTCTTCTCAAGCCACGACAAGATGCTGTTCTGATTTGTATACTACCATAGTTTGCAATAGCAATAGAAGAAAAACCAACCGTAAAGTTAAAAGAACTTTTGTGTTGAAAAGGCCACTGGTGAACACCAGTTCCAGTCAGTGGTAGATTAAAATCGTCACCAAAAGCTGCTGTGTCACGTGACTTAGTAGTCGTCACCAAAAGCTGCTGTGTCATGTGACTTAGAGTTTATACAGCCAAGAGACAGCCACAGATTTGGTGGCTTGTCATTACGTACTGATCTTTGAACCTGTCTGCAACCAGGAAAAGTGAGTGTACTTTATAAAACGAAAGAGACACAATGCTGAGAAAGATAGGTAACATGCTGTATATACTGTTATTTGATTGATCTAGAGCACATGTGTCAAACACAAGGCCCGCGGGCCAAATCCGTCCCGCCAGGCCTTGCAATGTGGCCCGCACCGCGCTGTCATCACTGCACTCCGCTGCGTTTCCATCACAATGACAGTTTATGACTGTTCAGTAAACCATTCGGCCCGCGATTTAGGCTGGATTTTAGATTTTGGCCCCTTCTCTGATTGAGTTCGACACCCCTAATCTAGAGTTTCCGTCTGCCCACTGGTGAAAAGACACCTGCTTCCCTTAAGACCTCCGAGATCATAGGACTCTCACGGTTCATAGCGATGCTCCCTGCCCTTGGCCTCCTCAACATGCACGGCTCCCGGCTCCCGGCTCCCGGCTCCCGGGGGCTCTAGTCCAGCATCGTGATGAGAACAGAGAGGGCTGCGTTTCCCGTGTCCACGGTGTGCTGTCTGCACCGGAAGTGTTAGCCTACCGTAGTGACTGTCATAGTTCACGCACCAGGTGCTTCCTGTGCACAGTGTCCGCAGAGACCCCTCCATGGCAGTGCCCGGAGCCGAGCATGCCTTCCTGCTGGGCCCGGGAAGGAGCTCACACGTGCTTCTCTCCATGACAATCTCACACTCCAGGTCTGCTTATCAGCTCCTCATCCCGCTCTGTCTGTGACATCCGCTGCTCCTTCTCCTGGCAGTAAGTTTACTCCAGACCCCGTGCTGCCTCCCCTTCACCACCAGGAAACATGCCTGATTTGGCCCGAAAGGCGTCTTTTTGTCTTTCTCTTCTGGGAAGCCAGGCTACCTTGGGCCAGTTCTGATTCTTACCTTGCCCTCTCCACACTGCACACTGCACACACGCACACATGCACACATGTGTGCACCCCTCACCCCCTAAGGCACGTTCCTCATCAAAGCCACCTCCTCCTCCCCCCGCCCTGCTGCCTCTCTGCTTCAGCTTTTGAGATGTATGAGTTTCCAATAGTTGTGAAGGTCACCTTCCCTGGCCGCTTTAGACACAGTTAGACACCAAAACAGCCCCAGGTGCAGGCCTCTGTGCTCTGATTCCCGTTTCCCTCGCGAAGTCACCGTTTCCGGGGGGAAGAGCCGGAGGCCCTCCTGGCGGGGCTGCCCGGGAGCACCACTGCGGTGTCTCTTCCAGGCAGTACACGGTGCGCTACCGGGAGAAGGGGGAGCTGGCCCGCTGGGACTACCGGCAGGGCCCCCAGCGCCGCCTGCTGATCGAGGGGCTGCTCCCCGACACCATGTACGAGTTCGCGGTGCGCCTGTCGCAGGGGGACCGGGACGGCAAGTGGAGCACCTCGGTCTTCCAGAGGACGCCGGAGTCCGGTCTGTATGAGTGGCGTTTGGGGGGTCCGTCTGGGAACGCCCCTAAAGTAAGATCCAGAGGCCCTTTAAGAGGCCAGCAGTGAGAGAGGCCAGCAGCGGCGTTTTAAAACGTGACACTAACCCCTGATCTTGGCGGGGTGTGTACACAAGGACGCCGAGAAGCAGGAACTATTTCCTGGGGCCACGGCCCACCCCCCGCGGGCCGTTCCCAGGGCTCGTCCTCCTGCCGGCGCGGCCCCGAGGGGGAGGGTCCCTCCTGAGGCCGAGGCTGCATGTGAGTCTGCGGCGGAGGAACTGGCGCGAAAGTTATAATCACGTCTTTTTAAACCGTGTCTTTATTCTATAAAAGCCTTGATTTTAATCCTCTTGGAATATCTCAATGCTGAGCAATGAGAGAAATTCCGAATCCGGAAAGCATCTGCTCGCGGGGAGCTCCCCCTGGGCCCGGGACTGGGAAGCCGCCCGCCCCCGGAGCAAACGCGCTCTCCTCCGTCGGGTGGCGGGTGGCGGCGGCCGGCGGCTCTGCTCTGCGATGGGCCGCGGTGAGGGCGCTGCCGATGGCTCCGGAAGGCGCCCCGGGCCTTTTCAAACCTTGGACCCTTGGCCTTGCTTTGCAGCTCCCACTACGGCTCCGGAGAACCTGCGAGTCTGGCCGGTCCACGGCAAAACCACGGCTGTCACCGTGGCGTGGGACGCCCTGCCCGAGACGGAGGGCAGAGTGAAAGGTAGGGAGCGGGCAGGGGCACGAGGGCACAGGGGCCGCCCCACTGCGCTGACTCCTGTGGCTGCACTGCGAACAGGGAAGCTACCGTCTGTGCGGCACTAACCCAGCAGGCGAGGACTTTCACGCGGGGCTTCCTATCGCTGAGACCAGGGGGTCATGAGGATGGCTCCCACCTCTGCGTACGCAAGGACCTGGGTCCGCTACCAGAGGGTGCTTTCTGGTTTTGACTATGGGAGTGACATCCTAACCTTGACCCACACCGATGACCCTTGTTTTCCATGTTCCGGGTCTTTTCATTGTGCCAGTAAGATCACGGAAAGTGGGAGTGAGCAGGAACCCCAGGGACCATGAGTGTCTTGAGTGGGACCAAAATCTTTTTAATGGGATTGAGAACTCAAGTAAAAAATCAAAAATTAGTCAGCTTTTAAAATTAATTACTTTGGGGGAGTTGAGGAAAATTTGACCTTAAAATAACAATACTGTAGATTTACAAATAGGATAAAATATTAACAAATAGTTAAATTCAAAAAATGTCTGTTGAGAATAGTAAATAAAAGCACAAATCCTTTCTTTTCAATTTAAAAACATCTAAGAACCTTCCAGAAGTCTGTGGAGATATTGTGAACTTTTCCCTTGATATCATTGATACAAATGTGCCCTAAGGGTACTTTTTACTGTTACACAATCTTGGAAGACATATGTAAGTCTTCACAAACTATGAGACTTCTTGTCCAGAAACTATGGAAAGTTTGCGTAAGCTTAAAGAAATCCAGAAAATGACCACTGATTTTCCTTGAGGATTTCTCAATTGAAATAAATGGCTTGTTCTGTTTTGTACACAACTGTGTGCTGTCTTTGTTGACCTGTAAGGACCTTTCCATGGGACACTAGGAGGAAGGTAGACATGAGATAGTCTTTTCTAAACGTAAGGCTTTCCCACTTTCTTGTTTAAGAAGAAAATATTGCACTATTCTTACTCTTTTTTTTTTCCTAGTGGAATAAATTAGAAACAAATGAAGAGAAGAAATGTTTAGCTGGCCCTTTTAAGTAATTCTTTTTATAAAAATCTGAACACTGGCTCCTTCTGGACTAAGTATCGTGGTAATGCTGGGAAGTGAGTAAAGACAGTATTGGGCTGACCACCCTTTTCGGTTATAAAAACATCCATCATGGCTTCGTCAGTGCCATTATTACCGTGCTGCTTTTGTCTTCGTTCCCTCTCCCACAGCTTGTTTACACTTCTCTCTCTTTGGTGAAAGAAGCTCCCAGCAGTCAATTCAATATTATCAGAAATAAAACAGCTGCTGAGTTACATCCAAAAGAACCCACAGATTTTCATAAAGGTGAAAGGTGTGGTAATGAGACTGAAAATTCAAAATTATACCAGGACATTTTTTTATGTCTGAGAACTATTAATATAAAACACAATAGAATATAATTTGACATGGTTAACCTTTTTTTTTTCTAAACGAAATGAATCCATAAAAATATCTGAATTACCAAATTTCATAGATAGGCATTCTTTTAATTTTGACTTCTTACCACCACAGATGACCAGTTTATTCACTTTCAACAAGCACACTTTTTTCTTCCTACAAATGCTTTAAAAAACACTTTTTAAAGATTAGTTCATAGGTAAAAGAAAAGCTTTCCCATGCCTCCAGAGGAAGTATGGCAATTGCTTGGTTTTCCTGAAATTCCGTTTTTTGTTAGCTCCCAGTCATATTAATTTGATAAGTTTTGTAAATCTTGAGGTCAGTGGGAGGAAATAACAGTTTTAAATAGGCTTCTTTATGGGACAGTGTTTCCATATAAGCATAGAGATATATGAGATCTTTGGACTGAATTTGCTATGATGTCCAATCAAGGGCATTAAATGTTTACAGCTGTGGCCAATTAAAGATAGAAACATTAGACAATGCATAAATCTATTAGCAACTTTTCCTAACAGTTTTAAATACTGTGCACTATCCTTGTCTGCATACACTGAGAGCTTTTATAATCCCTACAAAAGTGAAATTATATTCCAAATATGAAATTTAATGGGCTTAAGCTAAACCAGAACTGCCCCGATGATGTCACGGGAACCCTTGGAGATGTCAGCAGCTGTCCAGAATCCGTTCCTAGCAGCTGTCATTTCTTTTCCCACCGCTTTGTCCATTCAGGGTATAATTCTGTCAAAGTAAATTGGCACAGAACTCCGATGGGAAAAACCCAAACACGACATAAATGCCTTTGATAAACTGTATGGAGACTGGCCTCTAGGGTTCCCTGCACTGAATGTCCTGAGAACCGGCAACGCCAACTCATTAACTGGTAGTCTGTCCCGCTCCCGGGCGAACAGTACCCCTCCCGGCGCCTTTATGTTCCCACTTGCCCTGGCGTGATTGCCGGAGCATTCGCCAGTGATGCGCTCAAGTCCATCCCCGCCTCCGGTCCATTCACCCAGTCCCTCCCGCCCCTACAATCCATTCACCCAATCCCTCCCGCCCCTCCGGTCCATTCACCCAGTCCCTCCCGCCCCTCGGGTCCATTCGCCCAGTCCCTCCCGCCCCCGGGTCCATTCGCCAGTGATGCGCTCCAGTCCCTCCCGCCCCTACAGTTGTCTTCGGGACACAGCACTGTTTTCACTGTCCTTCCAACCACCTGCCCATCATTTCAGAGTACATCCTCTCCTACGCCCCCGCGCTCAAGCCCTTCGGAGCCAAGTCCCTCAGCTTCCCCGGAGAGACCACCTCTGCCCGCGTGGACGGGCTGCAGCCCGGGGAGCGCTATCTGTTCAAGATCCGGGCGGCCAACAGGCGGGGAGCGGGGCCGCACTCCAAAGCCTTCGTCGTCGCCATGCCAACAAGTAAGCATTGCGGTGGGACTCCCTCCTTTCGTTTCACGGGTTGCATCCTTTATGAACCATGGCTCCTGCTTGGGTTTTCATGATACTTTTCAGGCTGAGTTTGCAGTGACTTATAGGACATCTGACAGTCCCTTCAGAAAGCAGTCACCCCAAGGACTAAGATGTTATTGATTGCTAATAACACTCGTCACTCTGACGCTATTACTCAGACGTACGAGTATGAGTTTTGTGATTAATCGTACATCACCGTGTGACTGGGGGGATGATGACAGGGAAAGGACATTTTTACAGGCGTGCTGCGGCATTTCTAGTTGTCAGCGCTCTTCAATTTCCAAATAGCTTTTGAAATGCGTAGCTTGTATTCCGTTCCCTGGGAGTGAGCGTGACTCAGAAGAACTTCACTACCTTGTCTATCTGATCGGGATCGGAACCAGCAAGTTAATGAAACCCAGACACGGACTGGGTCTGGATGGTGCCTCCCTCCCGCCTCCCCCATCCACACCCCATAGCTGTTCTTCTCCGCGATGTGCTGTGAGGGTCCCCAGGGCACCCCAGAGCCACACCGTCTGTCCAGGAAGGAAGTGAAATAGGTGTTTGCTCCCGGCTGCGTTCCCCTTCGCTATGCAGGTTCCCGCCCTGACAGCACCCCTTTCCTTACTCCTCTCTCAGGAAAGGGTAAGTCATAGGGTGCACCCAATGTTTTGCCCACCTCAGGAGTCTTTTTATTTTTGGCTTTATTTTGGAGTTACAAATGTATTTATTACTGAAGAGATTTTAATAGGGAAGGAGAAAGCAAGCAAGGACACGTTAGGGGGACAGGGAACTCTCTGTAATGCTCAAAATTTACAAATCTGTGGCTCACTCAAGTCACCTCGCAGGCCTGCAACACAGCCCCACGCCTTTGTGTGCAGAGACCACTTCTTTATACCGGGCTCCTATAAAGAAGGCCTGGCCTGAGCTGTCCAGCAGGCTGTGGCGCGTTTGTAACACACCGAGAATTCCTTTTATTACTAAAGTCCGCTGGAAGGTCTTGCTCTGGCAAAACCAATGGATGACTTCAAAGTACTCATTTGGGAATTCCTTCAAATACTGAGCCGGGACTGACCTAACTGCATGCATAGAAATTCTCACTCGTGCTGCTTAGAGCTTAAAGCAAAGGGACTTTCCAAGCAATTGCTGTAATTGATGGAAGGGTCCGATATTCCGAAGAATGAGACGTTGTCAGTTAAAACTTCCGACCTGGAATGCCTCCCCTGCCATCTGTGACGCTCGCTTGGCATCCCAAAGCCTTGATTCTGGTCTCTGATGGCCAATCCTCTCCGTCTGTTGCAGCCAGGCCCCGGGAGGACACGGACAGCTGGAAGCAGGAGACCTCGCGGCCCTCCCCTGCGCCCCGGACCGCGCCCCCCCACGGCCGGCAGGCCCCGAGCCCCCCGGACCTGAAGGACGGGCTCCTGGCCCCCGGCGGGCTGCCCCGGAAGCCCCCGGCGGCGGAGCTCCCGGACCCCCGAGGGGACCCCCGGACGCCGCCCTCCCAGCCCAGGCCGCCGGGCAGGCCCGTCCACCCCGGCCCGGCCGGACGGGCCCCGGGGAGGGTCCGAGCGCCAGCGCCGCCCCGGCAGGACAACGACTCGCTGGACGGCGAGGAGGACGAGCCGGCGCCGGGCTCCCCGGACCTCAAGGCCGCCCCCGAGGCCCTGCGCCCCAAGAGCGCGGCCGCCGGGCCCGGCCCGTGGCCGCGGGCCCCCCAGGCCGCCAGGCCGGCGCTGCCCGCGCGGAGGGCGCCCCACGCGGAGGCGGGCGAGGACGCACCCCGCGGGGGGCCGCCCCGGCCGCCGCCCCCCGAGCCCCGCGGCCGGACGGAGGGCCCCGCCGCCCCCGCCACCAGGGCCGCCCCGGCCTCCCCGCGCCCGGCGCCCCGGACGCAGGCCCCGCGGAGGGCGGACGGGGACGGCCACGGCCACGGCGCCGGGCGGCCGGCCGAGGCCACGGCGCAGACGCTGCGGGCGGTCCCGGGACACGGCCACGCGCCCCGAGGCCGGCCCTGGGCCCCCGGCAGGCACCCCGGCCGGTTCGGCCCGGGCCGCGGGCCCCGCGTGCAGCCCGCCAGCGCCCCGGCGCCCACCCGCGCCCCCCCGGGGCGCCCCACGCCCGGCCGCGGGCGGGGCCCGGAGGGCGGGGCGGAGGACGAGCAGCCGCTTCCGGCCACGGCGGTGCGGGGCCAGGTGCCCGCCTCCTCCCGGCAGCGCGGCCCCCCGCCGGCCGGGACCCCCGAGGCCCAGCTCCGCCCCGGGGCCGGCGCCCCCCGACGGCGGCCCGCGGCCCCCCGCTCGGACCCGGAGGCCCACGGCTCCAGAGGCGGCCAGCCCCTCCCCGAGGGCCCCGGGGGCGCCGGCGACGACGCGGAGCCCCGGGCCCAGGACACGGCGGCCGCCGGGAGCCAGGCCCTGGCCGCCCGGGCCCCGCAGTCCAACTCCGCATCGGCCGAGGACGAGGACGAGGAGGACTCGTGGCTCCTGAAGGGCGGGGAGGACCGGGACCCGCTGTCCGCGGCTCCCAGGCGGCCCCCCGGCCCCGCGGACAGGGGCGCCCCGCGCGGGGAGAGCCCGGTGCAGCGGCCTCCTCCCCCGGGCGGCCCCCGCGCCTCGCACCCGCCGCCCCGGCCGCCCGCGGGCACCCCGGCGCCGCCCCGGCCCGCCACGCGCGCCCCGCCGGGCCCGGCGCCCACGCCCGTGCTGTCCCTGCGCCAGCGCATGATGCGGGCGCGCTTCCGCAACCCGCTGTCCCGCGCGCCAAGGCCCTCCTTCAGGCCAGGTACCTGTTCTTCCTCCCTCTGTTCTCAGTTCCTCACCGTGTCCTCAGTTCTCCTCTGCCAGGGCCAGGTGCCTCCCCCACCATGTCCTCAGTTCTCCCTCTGCCAGGGCCAGGTGCCTCCCCCACCGTGTCCTCAGTTCTCCTCTGCCAGGGCCAGGTGCCTCCCCCACCGTGTCCTCAGTTCTCCCTCTGCCAGGGGCCAGGTGCCTCCCCCACCGTGTCCTCAGTTCTCCCTCTGCCAGGGGCCAGGTGCCTCCCCCACCGTGTCCTCAGTTCTCCCTCTGCCAGGGGCCAGGTGCCTCCCCCACCGTGTCCTCAGTTCTCCCTCTGCCGGGCCCAGGCCCCATCAGCCCTTTGCAGACAGAGCTGGGGGTGCCCTCCTCTCGGCCGGCCTTCTCGGAGGGTCCGGGGTTTCCCTGGTTCCCAGGCGGGGCTGCGGGGTCTGTGTGGCTGCCCCGGGCCAGACAGCCCAAGGCCGAGCGACTGTCCCGCAGCCCCGGCCGCGGCCCTCGCCCACTCGCCCTGAGCGCCGTGGCACAGGCTCTGCTCCTGGGAAGCACGACCCCAGGTCCGGTCCTGCACTGGGCGCTCTGAGCTGTTTCCGCCCCGAACCTAAGGGCTCAGTGAGAAAGGCACTTCCCGTGGGCCTGGGTCATGTTCTTGTTGATTCTGCACACAAAGCTCTCAATCGAACACTCAGGCAAACTCAGATGTCTTGGCCATGAACTCCTCAGGGGCGAGAGTCTAGGTCAGTGGTCAGCAAACGCATTAGTCAACAGAGCTGCAAACCGGGGCTCCCGAGCCGCAGTTTGCCGACCGCTGGCTTAGACGTTGCTCTCGGTGGGTGTTGTTTAAAACTGGTAGGAAACTCTTGTTTAAGACAGTTGTCACCTAGAGCTGGAACAGGCAGGGTGTGACTTACACTGAGGACGAAGGCAGACAGCTGTGAGCTGGGAATGGGAGTCTGGCTGGACCCCAGGGCAGGACCTAAGCAGAGCATTTCCCAGGTCCGCAGCCAGGTAAGGGGCCCCTGGCACTCTGCCTGGAATCAGGGCCTGTCAGAGCAGCTCTGAGTGAACTATTGTATTTGTTCATCTAGACAAGGTATTGTTCGCTTAGCTCAGTGGTCGGCAAACTCATTCGCCAACAGAGCCAAATATTAACAGGACAACGATTGAAATTTCTTTTGAGAGCCAAATTTTTTAAACTTAAACTATATAGGTAGGTACATTGTTATTAACTTAATTAGGGCACTCCTAAGCTGGCCTTTGCTAAAAACGTCCTCAGTCTGATGGAGGCATGAGGCCGACCACTGGGTGAGCTCCATGGAAAGATGGAACACGCCGCACACTGACGTCCAGTTCCGTTAAAGTGGACTGCCTTAAGACAGCCCGAGACCCCGGTAACACACAAACTCACATGCCCTCGTAAAAGTCCTCAGTAAATGTTTAGTTTTCATTTACCGTTTGTGCAAGGAAATAAGTCTCTGACCTGCAAATTGTCAGGGAGCCCAAGCCCTTGACCCCGTGGTAGGGGCTGGACCGCACAGTGCGCAGCAGAGCCGAGGGGAACTGCGGCCGAGAAATGGCAGGAGAGAGAGGAAGGGCAGGAGACAGGACTAGGTGGACACAGCAACCGAGAGGGCCGCTAGCAGGACCTTGAACTTCCTCCCGGAGTAGGTACTTCGCTGGCGGCCGGCAGAGCTCAGCAAGCCGTCAGCCCGGGCATTTGTAAGTGGCGGTGGACATGGGGACTGAGTCGGCCAGGACTAGTTGTGCCGAGTAAACCTGCTGAGGAGAGCAGGACAGCAGCTAGACATTTAGAGACCGTTTTTCTCCAACCCTCCCTCCCTCCAACTTCCACCAGGTTAAAACACAGCGACTACGCCTGGAATCCTCCTCTGGAGAGTTTACTCATGTTCTACACTCCCATTCCTCCAGTACAGTCAGAAAGCCTGCCTTGACTGTGCTCTGGACATTGGTAGAGAGATAGATTTTGAGAGAGAGAGATGTGCTCTGGACATTGGTATTTGTCATGTGGAAGTCACAGTTTAGACTGTCATCATCTCATGGACATGAGTCCCTGTTCCCGTTCTGTTTGAAAGGATGTTACCGCTCATAGGTTGGCAGAAGCCAGCTCTGTAGGCATGTGGCGTTGACCAGGCTCTGTTGCTTGTTTCCGGGCAGGTTATAACGGCAGGCCCAGCGTGGAGGGGAGAGGGCTGCCCAGCACCAACGGCAGACCGAGCGGACAGAGAGTGATCAATGGCCCTCAAGGAACAAAGTGGGTAGGGTGAACTTCTTTACACGTCTTGGTTGTTCTCATGCTGTTGGGAAGAGGAAGATGGTGGGCGTTGTGTGACAATAGTGAAGCGGTCTTTTCCTCTTGTTCTCTGGTTTTCACCACTCCTCTGTCCCTGTGCTGCACTATGGCATTCTTCCAGCCACCAGAGAGATTTCTGATCGTCCCGAGCGACTAGTTCTTCTCAGAGCGAATAAGATGAGGCCAGGGCACTCAGACAAAGGTCTGGCTAACCACAGCCGTGACAGAGAACTTGAGGCAGAGCCTCAAATTAACTTCTATTTTCCCAGTTTGTTTTTTGTTTTTTGTTTAGTTAAAAACACATGTTTTCTGCAAATTGTCTTAAACCCTTTGTCAAAAGGAGACAGAGTGAAAATAAGTGAACAAGCAAGAAAACCCTGAATCAAACAGGCAGTTTTTATCAGATCACCTTTTGGATCTTCCAATAATTATTATTTGTCTAAAATAACAAATAGGTGTCAGTGTTTTATATATGTTTAAGTCAAATGACTAACTTCTTAGATTTAAGAAAAATGTTTATGATTTTAGGTGGCTTGGGGGCAATGGGAAGAGCACTTTATAATATTCAGAGATTTGAAATATTTTTTCAAAGCATCAAAAAAATAATCATGGTGGAATTCCCAGTCAACACTTCCCATTTATAGCAATAAGGTTTAGGAAAACATATTGGACTTCATGAAATGGTCAGTACAGGTTACTTAAAGATAGATCTTCTCATTTCTCAAAGGAACTGATATTTATTCTAGGAAGAAATACATATTAAAGCAAATGTCATATAAACAGTTTTGAATTGAACTGTATGGGTAGACTTCAAAAGTAGAGTCTGTACCCATGAGCCTTATGTATCACTGAGTCAGGATTCAACCAAGTGGCCTGCTGCCAGGGGCTGCTTCACTGGTCCCGTCATGCACGGTTGTGGTTCTCAAACTTGAGTGTCAGAGTCCCTGGGGCTTTACCAAATATGGTCTCAGGTGTGGCCAGGTAATTTGCACATCTGATAAGTTCCCAGGCGATACTGAGCCTGCTGGCCTGGGATCATACTCTGAGAACCACTGGTGTGAAGCATGAGTTTGTTCCTTCATAGAGATAGCAATATCCTCTTTTCAAACTTTTAATTCCTTAGGGCAGTTGTTGGCAAACCGGTTTGCCGCTCTGTTGACTAATGAGTTTGCAGACCACTGTCGCATACTACCCTTCTCCTCTTCTCACTCAATGTGCTGCAGTTGCCTAATCCTCACAGCTTCCAACTACACGGTAACATTTAGTCTAGTCCAGCGGTTTGCCGACCACTACCTTAGGGTATTAGCCTTTTGCATACATATTATATTGGGCAATGTAATTCCAAATGAAGTTGTTTTTGTTATAGTAACCTTGACTTTTCACATTAACAGTAAAGTAGAAGCATATCATGTTTTTAATATATTAGTAATGCATGTTCATTGCAAGAGGTGGGAACAATTCAGAAATACATGAAAAATATACTGAGCCATCCCACCTCCCTTTCCAAGGATCATCACTGGTGGGGATGTAGCCTTCTAGGTTATTTTCGCTGCAGTTTTAAGCTTATAGACACAAATGACTATATTTTTATTTTTGAAAAATCATCTCTGTACTCTGAATTTGTATCAGGATATGCCAATATGTGTAGAAATTTTCCATCCTTTTCTCCGGCTGCATGGTCTTCCACGGTGTGGATATGCCATCATGTCTAATGTCTGTCCCCCATCCGTGGGCGCTTAGGTAGTTTCCTGCTTTCCAGCAGCACATACATCGTACTCAGTGGTAGTTGTACATGTTCTGTATATTCTAGAAACAAAGTAATTTACATGCTGCATGGGTAAGCAATTATAATAGGAACTACAGTTGTTTTACACTTTATTATTCACTCAACCTTATGAAGGATGCTGACAGAAATAATGTTTCCTGCCCACTTCAGTGTTCTCTTCTGTGAAGCTTCATGCATGTATCCCTGCAGTCGGGTGACTGTGACGGTTTTGAATGTCCGTTATAGTCTTTACTCTGTGTCACGGGTTTAGGTGGTGGATCTTGATCGCGGGTTAGTACTGAATGCTGAAGGAAGGTACCTCCAAGATTCCCACGGCAATCCTCTGCGGGTTAAGCTAGGAGGAGACGGTCGGACCATTGTGGGTAAGTGAGAGTGGTTCTGAAGGAACAGTGTCCGGGCTTAGCTGTGGAATAACAATTCCTTTCCTCCTCGCCCTGCCTGCTAATGGTGCCCCTGGTCTAGTTACCTTTGGCCACGTGCCTTTCCTCGGAGATAGCTGTCAGCAACACTTCCAATGGAATCCGCCCTCTCAGAAAAGGTGGCACTCCCCTTTGTCCTGGAAATTGGCAGCCTCGAGCAGGAGGAGTCAGCCAACTCTGACCCACTGGCCAAACCCTGCCTGCTGCCTGTTTTGGTATGGCCTGTGAGCTCAGGAGAGTTTTCACATTTTCAAATGATTGCAAAAATAATCGAAGGAGGATAATATTTGTGACATGTGGAAATTAAATGACATCCACATTTCAGTGTTCGCGCCCAGGGGCTCATGGAACACAGGAGACGCGCCTGTGCGCGCCTGTGGCCTCTGCCCCCGGCAGGCAGCGCTGAGTGGTCACAGCAGGCGGAGTCCGGCCCATAAACTTGAGGTGCTTCCTCTGTGGTTGTGACAGAAAGCTTTGCACCCGGGTCCCAGGAGCACTTCCTCCTCGGGCTGGGGCTGAGCGGGGAGAGGACCCTCTCCTGACTGAAGACTGAGCGTTGACGGGGGCCGGGCAGGCGGATGACTGTTATTATTAATAATTCAGATGCAGCAGCTGAGTGATGGGCAGGATGGGAGCCTGGGGTGTCTGGGTAGCAGCAGGCATGTCTGCCTCAGAGAACAGACTTCCAATGACCCTACCTTTGCCTTTTTGCTGATTAAAATACCGGAATAACAAGCGTCCTATTTCCCCTGATTGTGTCCCCTGGTTGCACAGACTGTGTTTGATCTTGTTTCAGATCTGGGAGGGACCCCCGTGGTGAGCCCTGACGGGCTCCCCCTCTTCGGGCAGGGGCGACATGGCCAACCCCTGGCCAGTGCCCAGGATAAGCCCGTTTTGAGTCTTGGAGGGAAGCCTCTGGTGGGCTTGGAGGTCGTCAAAACAACCACCCGGGCGCCCACCACCACCACTACCACCACCACCACCAGCACCACTACCACTGAGAGACCCACCACTACCCCTCGGCCCACCACGGCAACCCCGCGGCCCAGGACCACCACTCGCCGCACCGCCACCACCACCCACCGCACCACCACCCGGCGCCCAACCACCACCATCCAGACCACCACCACCCCCGAGCCCACCACGCCCGTGCCCACCTGTCCCCCTGGGACCCTGGAGCGGCACGACGAAGACGGCAACCTGATCATGGGCTCCCGTGGGGCCCCGGAGTGCGTCCCTGAGGAAGGTAACCGTCTCCATCTAACGTGGCCACGCCTCACGCCTCTGCCTCGCTGCCTGCCAGCGGAGGGTCCACGGGCTGCAGGGAGGGGAGGGAGGGGTCCGGGGGGACGGAAACTAGGGTGTCTCTAAGCCTACACGGTTTGTTCAGCAGCTCTGTGCCACAGCCAGCGCTGTCAAATTTAGCAAACAAAGGTATTGCACAGGACAGGCTCACAATATAAATTACTCATTATTTACCTAAAATTGAAGTGTAACTGGGCTTCCTGGGTTTTACCCGGCAGCCCTTTCCACAGCTCAAGTCAAAAAATTAGCTAAAACACGGGGCATTATTAGTTTGGACTAGCATTTCCAAAGTGTGTCCCCTGCGTATCAGTAGGTTAGTATTTGTTAGAAGGATGGATGGATGGATGGATGGCTGGCTGGATGGCTGGCTGGCTGGCACAGGTAGATAGAGCTCGTAGCCTGCATGCATGTGGTCCTGTGATTACTGTGTGATTTAACCAAGGAGAAATGACTGTCTCACTGTGGGGCCACTCAGACCGTGTTTCAGTCTCCTGTGCGTTTCCGGGAAGTTGTTCCCCAGCACGTTTGGAGGGGACACTGATCAGCAGGAGGGGCTTCCCCTGGGGGAGGGGGTGACACCAGCTCCCTGCTTTGCAACACCCACTCAGGCCATCTCCTCCCTGCCCGTGCGTGTCTTCCTCCTGACAATGGACCCGGGACCATGGTTAGGGCGCGTGGAGCTGGGACGCCTTTGGATGCTGAGAGGCTTTGGATGCGGTCACTGCGCTGCGTCAGGCTTGGAGGAGGCCGAGTCTTTTTCTTCCCGCAGGGAGAGGGGAAGTGTGTGTCACCTGCAGAGCTTAAGTCTTTTTAAGCTACTGCAGAGAGAGACCTTCATTTCAGCATCACTGGCAGACCTGGAATTCCCTCCTGAGTGCGTGCGTGCACACGCACACACACCACACACACACACACCCTTTTTGCTTGCTCTGACTTTAGATGCTAAAGGCCTTGCAGTAGAGAGTGCCTTCCTCACGGCCCCTGATCCTTCATCTTTGGTATCTAAACACCTAGAGTGGCAGGCGTCCTGTTTCCCCTGCGGAGGAAGGGCCTTGGCTTCAGGTTCCCGCTCTGCAGCAGGTCTGATGAGGTCACGTGTTTGGAAATGGGAGGCTCCAGCTGAGCATCTTTGACCGTTTCTGGGGCCTGTTTCTGGGGCCTGTTTCTGGCCCCACTTACCACGGCTCCCTTCCAAGACAGAGAAGACAAAGAGGATAACAAAAAACTCACTGGACCAACCGTACCCTTGGCACATGTCCTCGTTTTCAAATGACTGTCATTCACCTCCTCTCTGAACTTCTACCAGGAATAGTTTTTGTAGTTTTCAAACCTCTCTCTGGAGCTGAGGCCCTCGTTCTTTGAAGATACTTTGCACTCGTCTTTTATGGCCATTTTGAATAAACCACTCAAGAGAATAAACAGTCCACCATGGTTGGTGGCTGGCAGTTACTTTTATATGAAGAAGTGGAAGCTTTTGACATTGATGCAGGGTTGACACATACAACATGCACTCTGATGTATGTTCCAGGTGGTTGGAAAGGCATCAGGTGGGGCAAATTCTGGTGGTCAGCTTAAAAACACACTTCATTCCACCTGGGAAGTAACTTTTACTTGGAATCAATATGGTGCTCTTTTGGAAAAATCAGCCTGACTTTGTTTTTAAAGAAGGAGCACTGCATGACTCAACATGGTGATTACTTTTGCTGAAGAGGTGACCCCACCGTTTCTATGACCCGCTGCTGGGCTGGGGTACTTCAGCGCCTCCAGGAATTGTACTTCCCCCTGGGAATCCGCGGAGGAAACCCACACGTTCCCTTTCCTTGTTCACTCTGAGATGCAAAAATTGCATGATTTATTCATTTCTGACCTGGCCAAAAATAACAGTAAAAAGAACGGGTCTGAACCCATAATGAGGACAAACAAGACTACGTTCTTAGCAGTTAAGTGGACGCGGGAGAGAAAGGTGCGTTCCTGGAAACAATGGCAGGGTGGCCTCTGGCGCTCGGCGCCCTGAACTTGACCCAGCCCGGGAGTAACTCCTCTTGGATCCAGGCATATTGACATTGGAATGACCGAAGGGAAACCATGTCTAATGGTTTTTCGTGAAACGACCATCGGGAGCCCTGAGGGTGGGTTGTTCGCTTCTCTGGTGGACACCCATGGCCCCATCAGAGCAGAGCAGGCCCAGTGCTGGCAGCGAGCGTGAAGTGGGTGCTGGGCGTCCCCAGGCCCTGGTGGCCTCGGGCCTGGCACTGTGTTCCTCGGAAGGGCCGGCGGCCAAGGTCTCCGCTGGTGGTTTGTTTTGGCGCCATGGCGTTCGTGACATTATCCAAACGAGCCTCAAAGTAGGCCAGTGGGAGGACTGCTGGAGTCCTGGGGAATGATCACTGATTTTCTAACAATGAAAAATTCAAACTGGTGCCTGTAATTTCTTAGGGGAGGGGGTTCATACACTTTCTGCTCAGTTGCACCTTTATTAAGCCATGGGACGGTGATTCTCATAGAGCAGCTTAAGCAAATGTTTATTGCTTAGTTGAACGTTTAAAAAGCAGAGACGGTTTATGAAGGATAAGTACAGTCTTTGGAGCCAGAGGGTTTGAAGTTCAAATTCAGTTTTAGCTCTGCCTGCGCCAGCTGTGGGACCCCAGGCACACCGTAAACCCTTGGTGTCTGTGGTGCCAAGTGGGTATAAGTCCTTGCGTGTATCTTCTGAGCAAGCGCAGGAGGCCCTGCCTCTGAGGACTTATTCCCATGGGCCGGCCGTGGGGGTGGTGGTGGGGAGTAGGAGGGGAGAACCTTTGCGCCCAGGCCAGCACCCTGACCCGCCGGGGAGAAAGCCGGCCCGGTGACCTCCTCCCTCCCTCTTCTCCAGAGGACTCCTCCGGATTGGACACAGCCCCGCCCACGGAGGAAGCCTATGTCGTCTATGATGAAGGTACTCCCTGGTTGTGAGCACACTGCTTGGCTAGTTCCTTTCCTGGTGGGAGGGCCTTCTAATCACTGAGTAGATGCTCTGAATTGCAGTTTCCTTCAGAACTCAGGGGAGGCGGCCAGGCTTCAGGAAGGTGGCTGTACCCCGCACTGCTGAGTGACCCCCAGTACATGTTTGCTCAAAGAGAAAGTGTGCTTGATTGAAAATACAGCTTCCAAACAAGTGCCCTCTGCTCCCCTCCTCTCCCTCCAGGAACTCTGGGCCTCCCCTCTGCTCTTCATGAGACCGACCATCTCCGCTTCCTCTCTGGCTCTTCACGTTCTTCCCCTTCCTCTCCTTTTCTAGTTCCATTACAAATGCAATGCTACGGGTGTGTTGCTTTTTTAAATCACAGAATCTTTTCAAGTAAGGGCAAGCCTAGGACACAAAATGCCTTGGGAAGTCCCTGGGACAGTTTCTCGATGAATGGGAACAAAGTGCTGTTCTGCTTACGACCCTGCGACTCTGCGCTCTTTAAGCTGCCTCTGCAGCTGGAGAAAATCATGCCGGCCTCCTGACCCCACCCTGGTGCCAGCCTTTGACACGCAGAGGTCCTCACTCTTGCCCTTCACCTCGCCTGCTATTAGCCATCGTTCCGCTGGTCTGAAGTCACAGACGTGGGAGCAGAGTCTCCTCTGCTGCAGTCATGAGACAGCTGCATGCGGTGGTTGAATCTTGCAAACAAGATTAACACATCAGACGGGTGTCAGAAGGCAGAGGACGGTTTCTTAGCGCCTTTGTAGACACTGCAGCTTCCATGCCTCTGAGCAGCTGGAAAGGGAGCAGTTTTAGTTTCTTCTTTAAATGTTAAAAGATCATTTCTCTTCATGGAGTTAATCCCACTTCCACCTCAGAAAAAAGCCAAAAATGATAAACGGGGGGAAAAACTACCAAGTTTATTGTGTGATGGGAATCTGATGCTCTAGAGGGGAACTCATTGAGGTAGAGATTGGCCTGGGACAAGGACCAGGGCCGTGCTAAACCGGGTGAATTCTGAGGCTCTCTCCAGCTTTGATTCAAAAACTTCATTTTTTCTGGTCATCTGTGGTTCTTTTTCCCATCCTTCTCTCTGCAGCTGCTTTCTGAGGGGACTGACATGGGGGGAGGAAATGCTGTTTTATTAGGAACAAATTATGTCTGGGCCCGGCATTGATCGTGGGGCACGCACGATCTTAGGAAGGTCTCTCTGACTGCAGACGCGCCCCTCGGCAGGGTGCCCAGTCACACAGACAGCCTCATCCCGTTTCAGACTATGAACTTGAGACCTTGAGGCCACCGGCCTCCACCAGGCCCTCCCCCGCGGCCACCACGCCCGCCATTGTCCCTGCGGAAGGCACCATCAGCTCCTTCCCTGAGGAAGAGTTGGACCTGGCCGGGAAGAAACGATTTGTTGGTAAGTAGAACTTCCTTCGCTCGAGACACGGGTGTTAGCGTGTGCCCTCCGAGGACGAGCACAGCCAACCCCCTGGCCAGTCCCCTGGCCTGGCCCAGGAGGCCCGTTTGGAGCGGAAGCTTGCCCGGAGAGAAGTTCCATTTGGGTGTCAGTGCGGCACCCTGCTGAGACCACAGGGCCTCTCTGCAGACAGCAGGAGAGGGGCGCATGCGGGGGACACTGGAATTGGACGGAGTAGAGATGGCTGCTTTGTGTGGCCTGAGAGTGAGGGACACGCAGGGAGCATCAGGCCAGGGACACGAGTGTTTTGTCGTGGCCGATGTCTGAGACAGGACCTCCCGGGGCTTCGCCTGCACATTCCTCTCCGGAGATGAGCGCCGCCCGATGGATGGCCCGCAGAGCCAGCGCCGGCCCTCTGAGTCACTGCCCATCTCTGCGTTACCTCCCGGCCTTGGGACCCAGGAATTTCTCGTGCTCTTTGGCGGCCACGGAGACAGTTTCGAGAGGAAACTCTGTTTTGCTAACCCGTGTTTCCCTCCCTCTGGGAGTCTTCTTTTCCCACGTCCTTAACGAGCTTCTCTAACGAGGCACTTAGATGCACGTCTGACTAAGTGGGAAAACACAATATATGACTAAGTAGACTGGCAACGGCTTAAACTAATCTCACACTTTTTTGTTTCCAAAACAAATGGTCTGCTATAAGCAGAGAACAGCTCCTGCCAGCCAAGATGTAGTGCTGAGTGTCTCCATGACACGCACTTGAGGAATGAGAGAGATTAACGTGAGGCTGCCTTCCTGCGGGAATCGCCAGTGCTGGCCGTGGCATTGGGCAGCCTGCCGGCGTCACCAAATCGGACTCTCTCTAGCTGCACGCCAGACTCGGAACGCCTGTCAGCACTGCTATCAGCTGCCCCAGAGAGCTCTGCTGAAGACAGCGAGGCTGCCGTTGTCTGGCTAATTCCATGTGTCTGTAATCTATACAGCATAGATTACTCTCCAAAACTTCCAGACGAGATCCATGGACAAGCCCTAAAGGCCCAATTTTATACAAATTATTGGGAAATAGAGGAGCTAAAAATTGCTTTTGGTTGTAATGGCCACTGAGAATGAGAACTGGCACCTAAAGATGCAGTGGAACACTTAGAAACTACTAGAGCCCTGGCCGGTTTTGCTCAGTGGGTAGTGTTGGCCCTTGGACTGAAGGGTTTTGAGTTTGATACTGGTCACGGGCACATGCCTCTGATACAGGCTTGATCCCTGGCCCTGGATGGGTGCATGTGGGAAGCAACCAATTGATGTGGCTCTCTCATGTAGATGTTTCTCTCTGTCTCGCCTCCTCCCTTCCACTCTCCTTAAAAATCAATGGAAAAGCATACTCGAGTGAGGATGGACAAGAGGAAAAGAACTGCCAGTAGAATGAGAGCACTCTGGAGCCTGCGTGTATAAAGCCTAACCCTGTTGCCCTGGCGTTTCCAACTTCTTACAGAGCGTGCGTCTCAAAAAGCTGTGGACTGGAGGCCCTGTTGGACCCTTCTTTCCTGTTCCCCAGTCCCCCAGTGTCAGCAGACTCAGCAGGGCCTGGGACATGAGTCCAAGTCCCGCCTTATTCCTGAAGCCCTGGTACCCACTGGGATGTGTGTAGAAAAAGCGCGAACCTGTCCATAAATGTGGGTAGCTATTGTGCTGAGCAGAGTGTTGTAGAAGGCTGTTGGCAGACATTCCAGATGGGTGTGGGGATCACGGAAGCCCCAGGGAAGGCCTCCTAGGACTATGATAGAGGTTGTATATCTTGATCAGTGTATGTTACTTTCTGGTCCCAAGACTGTCCAGGGAATGAATTTTGTTCTGGGCCTGATTCACACTTTTCCAAATGTTTGGGCATAGGCATGGTGAAATGCTGCAGCTCCAACTTATATGAATGAACTGCCATTTGGGGATCTTTCAAAATAGCTGAGGCCATAGTTATCAGTGTTCATGGGACAATAGCATCTTTTGAAATCACGAGATTAACACATATAAATGGTTGGATCCATTAAGGAGAGCGAGGGGTGTGCTTCTGGGTTTGGGATCAGGGCCGATGACCTTGGAACCTCTGTCTAGCAGGGAGACTGAATGATTGGTCTATTCCATGGAGACCTTAGGTTTCTGCCTCCAGAGAAAGCTCCAGCGATCTGATTGGGTACTTGTGTTCTCCTTCAGCTCCTTATGTGACGTATCTAAATAAAGACCCAGCAGCCCCTTGCTCTCTGACCGATGCTCTGGATCACTTCCAAGTGGAGAGCCTGGATGAAATCATTCCGACTGACATGAGGAAGAATGACCTGCCTCCTCAGCACGCGCCCCGCAATATCACCATTGTTGCCATGGAAGGCTGCCACTCCTTTGTCATTGTGGACTGGGACAAAGCCACCCCGGGAGATGTGGTAACAGGTGTGTCCAAGGCAGATGTTCAGAGTTCCCATCAACATGTAGGTGGGACACAGAGATAATAATGGATGAACAGATGAGGATGAGTATATGGATGGATGGATGGATGGATGGATAGATGGATACATGGGTGGATTGGGTGAATGGATGAGTAGGTGCTTGGGTGGACTGGATGGATAAATGCAGATGCCTCCTTTCAAAAGGATGAAATATAGGCAAATAGGGAAGCCCTGTAGGGAAGTATGAAGAGCACTAGATGGAAGTCAGAAGTTCAGAATTCTAGTCCAAGATAGATTTGCATGACCTTGAGCTACCTACTTCATCTCCCTGCACGTTTATTTCCTTTTCTGCAAAATGTTGTTACACCTTTTGCATTCTTAATCCCGCACAATGGCCAGCGAGACCTGTAGCCACTTGTAGGATTCGATCCTGCGAAGGATGGATGATGAAGAGCTCCTGCCGTGAGCTGCCTTGTGACTCTGCCTCTTCCATCCTCCCACACCTGCTGGGCGCTTCCAGATCAGTCATGGTGCTTCTGAACTCCTTATGTGGGAATTGGATGCGATGGACAAAGGCCCAGCATCCTGAGCCTCTTAGATTCTTGGCCTGTGAGATGATCATGAACTCATCTGTGTCTGCCAAGGATATATTTGAGGATAAATACATTGAAATAAGTTTTTACAGAAGAGAATTACTATTTTCTTTAAAGAGACCCTTCCTTTGTGAATGATTTATTCTGAGCCTGCAAATTGTATAAGAGGAAGGGATATGTGTGTGCGTGTGTCCGGGTAGGTGGGTGATGGTGGTATAAGTCAAAGCTTGGCATTATCTGTCATTGTTATGCTAATGTAGTTCATCAAAGTCAAAACTTATAGTACTTTTGCTTAATGTCTCTAATACTATCTCTTAAAATGAGAAAAAAAAATATTCAAGAACATCCAAAAAGCAACTTTTCTCATAGAGTTTGCACAGTAGCACAAAAGCCAGGATCAGGGACACAGGAAAGAATGGCCCAGGAACTGTGCCAGGTGAGGTTGCAGGGCCCAGAGGAGCCATGATGGTGCATGGTCAAGGCGTCTGAGCCTCAGGTGTAACTAACCGTGAAGTGTAATGTTGGGACAATGTTTTCTTCATTTCTAGTTGATCCCTTTTCATATCCTCATAGGTCTCCTTTATTTTATCGGAACCCTACACGCAGGGAGCTGTGTGTGGACCGTCTCCCGCAGAGCGGCCTCCACACTGTGGCCTGACCCCCCTCCTCCACAGGGCACCCCTTCCGGGTCGCGTGTTCCTTCGTGCTCACGTGTTCTTCCTTCTCCCCCCGCAGGCTACTTGGTTTACAGCGCGTCCTACGAGGACTTCATCCGGAACAAGTGGTCCACGCAGGCTTCCACCGTCACGCACCTGCCCATCGAGAACCTGAAGCCGAACACCAGGTAGGGCGGCCGCCAGCGACGGGTGGCCCTGGGCTTATGAGGAGAAAGCTCCGTTGGAGTGTTTTCATGATTCCCTTTGCGTCCTGTTTAGTGCTCACAGAATATCCGTGAACCCTCACACAGGTCATGGGGTTTTCCTGGAAGAAGTCACTGTGTGTACTGGAATTGTTAGTCTGTCGTGCTGGCATTTTGTTCCCTGGTTTCCAGAGACTCAGCTCTGCCCGCCACGGGGTCAGAAAAATTGTTCTGATTGAGAAGGAACTGATCTTCTGTCGTCGCCGGTGTGGTGGCGCTAGACGGCCACACCCTCCACGGGTGACAGTGGTGGAGCAGCCGTTGCTAAACATTTTAATTCACAGGCGCTCAGCGATGGCCTCTGTGCGCCTGACAACGAGTTCTGGAACTGAAGTGGGACTCCTCTGGTCAGAGGCATGGGGGCAGGCTCACCAGGAACTCTCCAGAGCGGTGGAGAGCCACACGGGCAGGATGTGCCCCTGAGAGGAGGGCCCGGGGGGGGGTGTCACAGAGCTCACAAAGGCGGAGTGGGCATCGTCTGTGCAGCCACCGCTTTTGCCCTGTGGCCCCCAGCAGAGCAAAGCAAGGTTTCCCGGACTCCCACCCCGGGGCCAGCAGCCTCCCTCCGGGGGACGAGCCCATTCAGACGTGTTCTTGCTGCCCGTTCTCTGTTCCAAGACCGAGGCGAACCCCGGAGAAGCTCTCAGGCCTGGTGCACACCCCTTCCTGGTGGCTTCTCTCTCCTGGAGGCGCAGGAGCCCCAGACTCTTCCAAGGCTTCAGGCCAACCACAGCACTTGTCATGCAACCAAAACACACCGGTTCCCCGAGGACCCAGCCTCTGGACCGGTTCTCCCTCTCTGCCTCGGTCACTGCGGGTCACACAGCCTGCTCTTCCAGCCGCGCCCCCCCCTCCAGCCGGGCCAGCCGGGCCAGAGCAGGACGAGAGGAGGGTCCACAGCAGAAGCACTGGGTGCCCAGGGACACACTCTCAGTGCCGCCCTGTCTGCTCCCATTAGCCAAGGTCTATGCTGTTCATTGTATTATTTTGAAAAGTTATTAGGAAATGAGAAAGTTCAGAGAACTGTGAAGAAATAGCAGGGATGTGTGCATTAGTGAAAAAAAATAAAATAAAAAAGGACTCAAAGTCTGCACCAGAGTAAGTAGTTGGGAAGTCTGTCTCATTACAGACAGACTCAAACAAGCGTCTCTCAGAAAGCGTTTTCTTCCAATTCCAGGTATTATTTTAAAGTTCAGGCCAAGAATCCTCAGGGCTATGGACCCGTCAGCCCGTCGGTCTCATTTGTCACGGAGTCAGGTACGGCTGCCTTCACTTCTCATGCCTCCCTTTTCTCAAAAACAAATAATTTGGATTAATGACTGTAATAGAACAAAAACTGGAAAATTAGAATCCTGACTGTTCCGGTTAATGAATTCATATTGGCTGTTGCTTTATTAAATAAACACTACTTTCTGCTAGTTTAAAACTTGGACAACAATAGTCAAAGTAGACTTTTTTGGAACTGCCTGGGAAATGGAAAGGTCGGATTCCAGTGGAAGGGGGGGTGGGGATCTAGTTTTCAGCCACGCAGGAAAGAGAATCTGAATCTCTGCAAAGGTTTCGTTGCAGAGGAAAGTTTTCCATTGCAAACAGCTGAGGAGCATAACTGGCCTGAGGCTGAGAGGAAGCTGCTTCCAACAATGAGTTCCGTCTCTAAGATGCTTATTTGTTTAAGATTTTTCTTTTCTTCTTAAAAAATATATTGATTTCAGAGAGAACGGGAGATGAATAAAGAGATATAAACATCAATGATGAGAGGGAATCATTGATCGACTGCCTCCTGCACGCCCCCTAATGGGGTTTGAGCCTACAACCCAGGCACGTGCCCTTGACCAGAATTGACCGGGACCCTTCAATCTACAGGTTAACACTTTATCCACCGAGCCAAACCAGCCAAGACGAAGATGCTTTTTTAAACCAGGAAGTGAAGATGACTTTACTTGACGTGGAGAGTTTAATTAAAATACTATTCAGAACCTGCCCGGTAGCTCAGTTGCCTAGGGCAGTGGTTGGCAAACCGCAGCTTGTGAGTCAATGCGGATCGCGAGCCGAGGTTCGCCGCTCTGTTGACTAATGAGATTGCCGACCACTGGCCTAGAGCATCGTTCTCAGACACCAAGGTTGCAGGTTCAATTCCCAGTCAGGGCGCATGCAAGAATCAACCGTGATTGCATAAATAAGTGAAACAACAAATAGATCTCACCCTCTCTTTCTCAAATAAGTAAAATACTGCTCAGCCTTACAAGCAGCATCACTCAGGGTGTCCCTGTGTCGGGAGTGCCGGTGTGCAGGGCTGAGGCCCTTCGATTAAGTGTGCCCATGTTCATGGTCTGTAGAGACAGAGCCGCCCCTGGAGGCAGTTCCTGGGTCGCAGCCTCTCAGTGTGGGAAGCCACGCTGGCGGCTGGGACCTGAGGCTACCTTCAGACGCTCAGTCTGCCAGCTGCACACCGAAGTAGCAGCTGGAGCTTCTATTTGGTTCTATTATTTCTTACATGTAGCTCATCCCAGAACATAGGTCATTGGAAGGTAGTTTTTATATGCAATGACTTGAAATCTACTGCATCAAAATATGGGGAAGAAAATGAAGTCTTTGTGAGAACATGCTCTATTCTGGAAATGTAGGCAAAGGACTCAACAGCACTTTCATCTATTTCATCTAAGAAGTGTGTTTCTCATTAGTAATCGAGAAGGAGTAAGAGGAAGTCATTATCAGTGGTTAAGGTGCTAATATAGGCAATGTGTCTATGTATATGGCTGCATTTCCTACAAAGAAAATGGACTTTTGGCAATTTCCAGAATCAACATGATAAAAACAAAATTATTCACATTTAAGCATTTATCAGAACCTGAGGTCTGAAGTCTGAGCATAAGAAGGTACATGTGTAGCTCATTCTCGTTTATTCCTCAGCAGCATTCCGTGCACTGCGGCTGCACCAGTGAGTTTCTCTGCTCACCTGCTGGTAGACATTCGGCTGTTTCTAAGTTACATCTCTAAGATGCTTATTTAAAAGTTTTCTTTTCAAAAAATATTTTGTATTGATTTAAGAGAGGAAGGGAGAGAAATAAAGAGATAGAAACATCAATGATGAGAAGGAATCATTGATTGGCTGCCTCCTGCATGGCCCCTAATGGGATTCGAGCCTACAACCCAGGCATGTGCCCTTGACCAGAACTGACAGGACCCTTCAGTCCACAGGTCAACGTTCTATCCACTGAGCCAAACCAGCTATGAAAAGTAAAGCTGCTGTGAGCATTCATGAATAAGTGTTTGCTGGGACATGTTTTAATTTCTCTTGGATAAATTCTCAAGGCCACAAAGGATGGATTGTACAGTAGATGCATATTTACCTTTTTAAGAAACCACCAAACTGTTTTCCCAAGATGGACAAGTTTTAAAACATAATGAGTATTTCATTATTTTGTGGTACCCAGTGTCAAAGTATTATCTTCAGAGATCCACAACTTCTATAAAAATCAAATGAAGTATTTCTCAAAAGAAAGTGCTCAGAAAATAAAAACTAACAAAAAAATGTTGGCCTCTGACAAATAAACCATATATTTTTTCTTTGGGTTAGCCATCTTGGTTATAATAAACATTTAAGTGTTCTCATTGTTGTGAAATGTGATAATGAAGTTTTGTGTTTTTTTTTTCTTTCTACAGACAACCCTCTGCTTGTTGTGAGGCCACCGGGTAAGTCTGTCTTCTCGATAAACTTCACAGTTTAGTGATCACGTTGAATACTGATGATGAGATTATTACAATTACAAGTGCTGGACTATTTTTGCATTTTTATAATATTATGACAACATCGGTGGTTTCTTTGCTCCCTTCATCCTAATCCAGGGAAAAGTGATCTGGGAATTTTTTAATAGCAACCAATATCTATAAAAACCCATTATGGGTGGCCAGTATCTCTGAGAATAGATATGCTTATTTTCATTCAACCCCCTTTGAATATTTTGAATTGCTGAAAAGGTAGCAAAATGAATTAGTGTGTAACAAAATTTTACTTTGTGTTTAAATAACCTGAGAAAGCTCTATGCTCATGTTTAGGACGGGTCTTGTGGATGACAAGAACAGTAGGGGTCTATGCAGAGGGACCTGGTGGGAATAGGATGGCATGCCTTGCAGATCAACTTTGCCTCTACAGCTTATTTCCCTGGTGGCCTAATACCTTTTCCTTGCTCTGAGAATCTCTTAACCATGTTCAAGTAAAAGGATCTCCACAACGGTGTGTCAGTCCTAAGAAGGCAAAGGAAGGAGGATGAGGATGCCCAGTGGGAGGTGGGAAAGCTTTCTCAGAGAAGCCCTGAGAAAAGGAGGCCCAGCAAATAGGTCGGACCTCTAGTGCTCGGTGCAGGAATGCACACGGCCCGCCGGGCCCGGTGTGTTTTTGTTGTCCAGGCGGGGAGCCCATCTGGATCCCGTTTGCTTTCAAACACAATCCCGACTACACGGACTGCCACGGCCGGCAGTATGTGAAGCGGACGTGGTACCGGAAGTTTGTGGGCGTCATCCTCTGCAACTCGCTGCGGTACAAGATCTACCTCAGTGACAACCTCAGAGGTGGGTCTTTGTGGCCGGCGGCTGGGGGAGGGTGGGAAAACTTTTTATTTTATGAGCTGCTCACTTGACATAGCAGGTGTGTGAGGACAGATTTAGGTTTAGCTCAAATGCAAACCAGCTTGGCAGGCTCTGTTTTAGGGTGGTTAGTTCTACACTGGCACCCAGAAAAATACATATTTTAAATCTACCTTTTAGAAGTGAAGTCCAAAACTCTGACATAAATTTAAAAGCCAGTGTCTGCTGTTAACTCAGTAACAGGTATGAGTATGAGCTGGGAGTGCTGAGAACACTCCCTTCACTTCCTGCTACTGGCACAACTTTACAGAGAAAAAGACATAGATGGGGGGGCAATGTTAAAATATGTACACAGACAATAATTTAATTAATTATATATAAAAAAATAATAAAATAAAATATACACCATCAGTACCATTTGTTCGCTGCCCAAATAAAAACTACATCGTCTTTATCGTGGGTGGGGATTAAAACAAAGGATAACATACACACTTTGACCTACGAACATTTCAAAATGCCATTTGCCCCAGCTGGCTTTGCCTCATTCACCTATGCAAATTTGTTTATATTTACTTTTTTGGTTTGAGTTTTCCCCTTATTTTTATTGTTGACACTATTACAGATGTTCCCTTCCCCACCCTTTCCTGCCTCCACACAGACCCCAATTTCTTTTATTTCAAAATTTGCACAGATTTTAGTAAATACATTTTTCAATTTTTTCTCATCTGGTCTATATTTTATTATGGTTTTTGGTTGTTTTTTCTTGCTAATGGTATCGTTTCAAGACAATGTCAAAATAAAATCTCCCTTACAACCCTCCACTCTGGCAGTTCCTCAGTATATATGCCTCTCCCAACGCTCCCCGTCTGTGTCTCTCTCCCTTCTCCTCCTGTGACTTGAATTCCTGGGAGAGGTGCATAGCCTTCAGCATCCCAGGGCTGAGAAGAACAACTTTGTCCTACTGTGCAGCTGTGTTTCAGCACCATGGACAGTGCCTCTGGCCCCTGACACACACTCTTTAGTAATATACATGAAAACAGGTTAATCTGTCTGTATAGATCTCTGTGCCTTTCACCATGCAGCCTCTATAGTTTCATCTGTCCTTTTTTTAAAAGACCAAGGATTAAAAAGTATACAATTATAGCCTGAGACTTCCCGTAATATTAATAGTTTCCATTTAGTGAATACTTAAGTATTTAACATACATGATCTCTAAACATCTATGGGTTGGCGCCATTATCACCAAGTTTCGAACTCAGAAAGTATGACACACAGATTTCAGTAATGTATCCACGTCAAATAGTCTCCAAAGCTCGTGCAGACTCCTAAACCAGCCGTGGCACTTTCTGAACCGTCACTGACTTATCTTATTCCTCCATCAAGACACATTCTACAGCATCGGAGACAGCTGGGGCAGAGGTGAAGACCATTGCCAATTTGTGGATTCACACCTGGATGGAAGAACAGGGCCTCAGTCCTACATAGAGGCCCTCCCCAGCATTCAAGGTAATGAGAACACACACCTGGCATATCCCACTGGGGGTGAGAGAGTAGGGCTGATGTGAGGAGAAAACTCGCCGTGGGCCTGCCTTTGGCGTACCGCTTGATGACAGGTTGTTGGCAGCATTATAGCTCACGACAATCAAACATGAACAAAATACACCTACTGTGTGCTGGAGTTGGGTGAGCTAGGGAAGGTAGGGATTCAGTGGAATGAATGAGACCTCATCCCTACTCTCAGGAAGATGGTCCACGGGCAGAAAGAGAAGCTAAGTATCTGAAAGGCAACTAACAGGTATAACTTCAACTGTAGACAGTGACAAGAGTTATGTCACATGGTCGTCCTGCTGTCAGGCGCTGTCTGAGGGTGAGGGAGGCAGGCCATCGGGCGCTGTGGGGAAGGTTTTCGGAAGAGACAGAGTCAAAAAGAGGCCTAGATACACACAGATTGGAGGGCCTCCGGGGGGAGGAAGGCAGGAAAATAAACAAGTGCCCACCAACCATGACCTGCTTCCAGAGACAGTGTGTCAGCTATTCGATTGTGGCTGTTTAAGGCCAGAACAGGTGTTCTCACCTCAAATGTGAACACCTTGCAATATGAACACTTACTCCCCCAATAAACCACCAATTAGAACTGAACGGAGTCAGCACTTTTCCCATTATGCACTCAATTCTCAGCAATCTGGCATTTTCAAGATATGAGACATTTCTAGGGGTGGGGGTGGGGGAGGCGGAAGGGGAGAAATGGTACAAAATTATTCATTTCCAAAGAAATAAAATATACAAAACAATAAAATAAGTGTCTCCAGAAAAACAAAACCAGTGCAGGGAAGGGGGAGAAAAAGAGAACGAGGTGCTTATTTCAAGGAATTGCCTCACGATTGTAGAGGCTGGCTGACCCCAAATCCGCAGGGGCGCCAGCAGCCAGAGACCCGGGAGAGGCAGCGTTTCCGTGTGAGCCCCGGCGACACTGTCCTCTTCGCGGGAATAAGTCCTTTTCTTTAGGGCCTTCGCCTGATTGGACGAGGCCCACCCCCAATACGGAGGGGACTCTGTTTTACTCAAAGTCTGCCGATTTAAATGTTAATCTCGTCTAAAAACACATGTTCACAGAAAGACCTAGAATAGCTGACCAAATATCTGGGCCCCAGAGCCCCCAGCCAAATTGAACACAGAAAATTAACCATCAAAATAAGCATACTAAATATAGGGTGTCCCAACAAATGTATACACACACTTTGAATAATTATAAAGATAGTGTTTGTTAAAATACATTCCATTTTCAAAACTGAGCTATCGGCTGTTAAAACATGTATACACTTTGGGGGAGACACTCCATAAGCACTTATACAGGTATAAGTGCTTTTTTAAAATCACCTTATCAAATTCAACTCAGGTGTGGTTGAAAGGGGTTTGTTACCAATATCAGGACTCAGTTATTACTCATCATTTAGGACAGTGGTCGGCAAACTCATTAGTCAACGGAGCCAAATATCAACAGGACAACGGTTGAAATTTCTTTGGAGAGCCACATTTTTAAACTTCAACTTCTTCTAACACCACTTCTTCAAAATAGACTCGCCCAGGCCGTGGTGTTTTGTGGAAGAGCCACACTCAAGGGGTCAAAGAGCCCCATGTGGCTCAAGAGCCGCAGTTTGCTGACCACTGACTTAGGAATCCCATGGATGTTAGGAACTCTGTGCCGGGAACAGGGATGCAGACCACATACACACCTCTTACTGCCCATTGCAGTACCACAGATACATGTCTCTCCTCTCTCTCTCCTGTCCAGGCTACTACCGCCAGTATCGCCAGGAGCCCGTCCGCTTCGGCAAGATCGGCTTCGGGACCCCCTATTACTATGTGGGCTGGTACGAGTGTGGCGTCTCCATCCCCGGGAAGTGGTAACGGGACGAGCGTGCAGGAAGCTCGCCCTGCCCGGCCCCCTGACTAACTTGCACTGAGGCCTGAGCAGGAAAAGGAAGACGGTGTCTGTCAGCAAGGCCACGAGGTGGACACTGGATGTTTGGGGCATCTTCCGACTGGACTCAGCCCCCTTCCTGGCCTGGACCAGTTTGCTTCTCCACACGTTTTGCTTATAACAGCTCATCCCAGAGACAACCAAAGCACATGGCTACCAGGGAAGCCCGCCGATTTGGGGCGGTTTTCACCCTTCTTAGGCACAATGTCCAGACCATCTGTGTCTCCAGAGAACAGCAGAAGCTGGCTCCATGGAACGCTACACGCTTTCTCTCTTCATCGGACTCCTCCCAGACTGGCTGACATTATGCTCTGGTCTCTGCCTTTGCAGCAGAACTGGGTTACTCAAATTACCACCCAAGGAAACATATCCCACTTAAGATTTACCCCATGGACTCACCCACCGCTAGACCAAATGTATCACATCTTTGTAAATTCTCATTTTGAGAGAGATATATATGTATATATGCATATACATATCCCCACTTGTCTGCAAGAACGTCATTAAAATCGCTAAATGTTTACTAGATGAATGTGTGTGAGGCTTTCGGAGCACAGGTGCTATTTATGAACATCTAACTGAAGTGTGCAGAGCATGCGTACTGAGCAGTGGAAAGCCCCGCCTCCCCCTGCGATGCTGCTGAGCTGTGGGTGGCAGGGATATGCCCCCCAGATGGCAAACGCGTTGCAGACCGAGTGCCTTCTCTTCCACGCCCGTGTGGAAGCGCACAGCTGTCTCTGTGGGGACATACCTCGTGTGTTTCCAGATTGAGAGTTTAGGTCCCAAATGATTTACAAATCCAGTCTTAAACTCCTTTTCCTCTCCTGCCCACCTCAGTGTCGACCTTCTTGAAATAAAGCACCTTACCCCTCTTCGCCGCAGCACACGTGAGTTTATTTAAAACGGTGTCTGTTCCACGTGCTCCCCGTGTCCACGGCAGCTCTGCACAATGAAGGGCTTGCCTCTGCAGGTTTACACGTAAGAAAAGCAGGGCTGGGGATGGGTGAGAGGTGGGCGTGTTTCTGGGCCCGCTGGCGTTCCCCTCGTGAATGTCACGTGGGATGCAGTCAGGCTCCTGGAGCCAACCAGCGCGGGCCGGCGCTGTGTTGAGGGGAAGCGGGTGTATTGTATAGACGTGAAGGTAGAACTTACAAACAAACAAGTAACTTTGCAGGCCACTGCATGGGGGCTGTGATGATGGACACTTCCCTCAGCTCCCACCATCCCCTTTGCACAGCGAACAACAGTAGAGACGGTGTGAGCATGCAGGCGGCTGGGAGAAGAGAGAATTCCTTAGGAGGGCAGACCAGACGCCCAGCTCCTGTGCTACTCGCGTGTACATTTGCAAAATAGCATAATGCTCTCCAGGGCCATCCCTGCTGTTGCAAATGGTAGGAGTTTCTTCCTTTTTACCGCAGCATAATATTCCATTGTGAAGATGTACCACAGTTTTCTAATCCACTCATCTGCTGATGGGCACTTAGGCTGTTTCCAAATCTTAGCTATGGTGAATTGTGCTGCTATGAACATAGGGGTGCATATATCCTTTCTGATTGGTGTTTCTAGTTTCTTGGGATATATTCCTAGAAGTGGGATTACTGGGTGAAATAGGAGTTCCATTTTTAACTTTTTGAGGAAACTCCATACTGTTCTCCACAGTGGTTGCACCAGTTTGCATTCCCACCAGCAGTGCACGAGGGCTCCTTTTTCTCCGCATCCTCATCAGCACTTGTTGTTTATTGACTTGTTGATAATAGCCATTCTGACAGGTGTGCAGTGGTACCGCACTGTTGTTTTGATTTGCCTCTCAGATGATCAGTGACTTTGAGCATGTTTTCATATGTCTCTTGGCCTTCTGTATGTCCTCTTTTGAAAAGATTCTATTTAGGTCTTTTGCCCATTTTTTGATTGCATTGTTTATCTTCCTTTTGTTAAGTTGTATGAGTTCCCTGGAAGTGTTGGAGATTAAGCCCTTATTGGAGATAACATTGGCAAATGTGTTCTTCCGTGCAGTGACAGGAACCTTTAAGTAGCTTTTGGGGCTCTTGTACATGAAAGGAGGTGGGTTTTTTAAAAGAAGGATGTCTAAAAGCACCTTATATTTTACTCTTATTAACACTCAAACATACTTCAGTAAAGATCTCAGTAAAAGTGAATTTTCCTAATAAGCGGCTAACTGGTTTCGGCACCCACCCGCCGCCATCACCATCGCCATCAGGGGAGAGGCTCCCTGCTGAGGCCCCTGGGAGAGCCTCGGTTTGCCATTTCCTGAGTGTTCCCTTGGGTCTGAAGCATCATTAGCACTCAGTGCGCTCAGGACAGGAGTGCTGGGCTGTCCCACAGCCGGCCTGGTCCCGCCTCCTCTGGGGGAGCCGGGAGCACGGAGGAGCAGGCGCCTCTCCTTCGAGATCCACTCACTTCACAACCCCAGTGCCTTGCTCCTTCCACACCAAAGGGCTTCCTCTCCTCAGCAACTCAGGGATCCCCTGGCGTTCACTCACGCCATGACTACCGAGCCCTGTGATACCTCAGGCTGTATTTCATTATAGGAACCGACTTTCATTAGAAGTGTTTGTGCCCTGGCCAGTGTGCTCAGTGGTCAGAGCACCAGCCTGCGCACTAAAGGGTATGGGTTTGATTCCCGGCCAAGGGCACACCCCTGGGTTGCAGATTCCTGGCCCCCAGTTGGGGGTACATGTGAGAGGCAACTGTTAGATGTGTCTGTCTCACATCGGTGTGTTTCCTCTCTACCTCCACTCTTTCCCACTACCCCTCTCTAAAAAAAAGAAAGAAATAAGAAATGGAAAAAATATCTTCAGTTGAGGATTAACAACAAAAAAGTGTTTGCAAGTTTTGATGGAAATTACTACAAACCCCAGATGATAGAGCAGCCAAAACAAAAACACCGGCGCTAAGCCAGGTGGTATTATTACCAAATTCTGTCCAAATGTGGTTACATCACGGTTCACATGAGTGCTCGTGGCCGCGTCCAGCTCTGGCCCCGTGTCCGCTCCGGAGGCCGCGTCTCAGGAACACCAGGGGCCTGAAGCCACTCCTGTCGAGTCAGGAGGGCATCCCTGGGGACATCATCTATTTCAAAGGCTCTGAAGAAGCAGCCACTTGGCCAGCTCCAGAGGCGGAAGTGGCACACGTGGGAATGAAAGAAAAAGAACAGGTGACGACACGGCGAGGAGCGCCCGAGGGAAGCAGGGAGGTGCCCGCACCGAGAAGCCGCAATAGAACGGGACCTTCCGAGCCCGCCTGGAGGCCGGCCTGTGCTCCCATGTCGCGAGCCAGCACGGCTTTGTAACGGTTCTAAGGCAAACAGCACGGCTTTGTAACGGTTCTAAACCAGACAGCACGGCTTTGTAACGGTTCTAAACCAGACAGCACGGCTTTGTAACGGTTCTAAGGCAAACAGCACGGCTTTGTAACGGTTCTAAACCAGACAGCACGGCTTTGTATCGGTTCTAAACCAGACAGCACGGCTTTGTAACGGTTCTAAGGCAAACAGCATGGCTTTGTAACGGTTCTAAACCAGACAGCACGGCTTTGTAATGGGTTCTAAACTGGACAGACAAGGAAAAGCCCATGGTAGTCAACAGAAGCCATGTGTGGTCACAGGTCTGAAATATTTACCGTCTCACCCTGTAAGAAAGTGTGCACAGCTTAGGTTAGAGTTCTCTGAGGTTTAAAGACAGTTTAAGCAAGGTCCTAGTTAAAAGCTATCACATCATATAGGACTTCATAGATCTTGGCTTTCCTCGTACTTGAATTACATTTGGAAATTTATGGATATGCCTCAGGATAAAAAAGTGGAGGAATTCAGTGGGTGTGGGGGCGATCCAAAGGTGGATCTGAAAGCTCTGTATGGGAACTAGTTTGCTCTAGAAACGTTTGAGATTCATGAAGGGCGGGTTTGGTGTGTGGTGTGTGGGGTGTGTGTGTGTGTGTGTGTGTGTGTGTGCACGTGCGCTGCGCTGTGTGCTGCATCTCTATTGCCCTAGCTTCGTCGGAGTGCAGCTGCTCTGAGACCTTGTCAATTCCGTTCACAGCATTTCTGGTTGCCTCGCTGTATCGGAAATATTTGTTTGGTGACCACAGCTCCGTTCCGTTTTTGATGCTGAATTGGAAAATGCTGTTTGTCCTTTGGGAATGTTCTAGTTAACAAGGAACAGATGGTGGTCTGAGAGGTACGGAACTTGTTGACTAGCAGGAAGATCCTCTTGGTGTGCAGTTAGGGCTTTCTCTGTAGCAGGGAGATTTCTGAAGTAATGTGTAATGATGGAGTGGAAAATATCTGTATCCTAGCTTATAGTTCACATACAAGGTAGTTATTATCAATGCATCCATGAATATACATCTGTAACAGACTTTATTAAGTCCTTCCTAAGTGTCAGGGACCTTCTGAGTATAGATTCCTTCTTTGGTGTTTTTTAAAAAAGTTAAAAAACACAGCAACCATTGCATTGAGGCGTGGTTGGCATACAAAAGGCTGTATAAAATCAATGTGTACAACGTGATAAGTATATCTCTGTGAAACCATCACCACCCTCTGTACCAGAACACACCCATTACCTTCAAAAGTTTCTTCCCACCTCTGAATTTATTATTGTGTGTGCGTGATAAGAACACTTAACATAGGACCTGCCCTCTGAGCAGGTTTTAAGTGTGTGATACAGTATTGTCAGCTACAGGCCTGTGCTGTACAGCAGACCTCTGGTCATACATGACCAAGACAAATGCCTCCGCCCTTCCCCTCCCCAGCCCCTGGCAACCACCACTCACTCGCTGCTTCAGTTTATTTTAGTTTCCACAGGTAAGTGGAATCATGCAATACCTGTCCTTCTGTGACTGGCTTATTTTACTCAGTCCGCTGAGTTCATTCATGTTGTCACAATTGGCAGGATTTTTCTTCTTAGTAAAGGCTAAATAATATTCCATTGTGTGTGTCTGTGTGTGTACCACAAGATTGATAGTGTACACTCCTGAATTTTGACAAATTTATAGTCATGTAAGCACCACTATAATTAAAATAGACAACAGTTCCATTCCCCCCACACACAAATTCCTCCCCTGCTCCCCCCGCCCAGTCTGTCATCAGCTAATCTGCTTTCTGTCATGTCTTTGCCTTGTCTAGATGGTCATGTAAAAGGACATTTCTATTTCTTCCTTTCTCATCCATTCCTTGCATCTTATTTCTTTTTCTTGCCTATCACTCGGGCAAAGACCTCACTATATTGATAAAAGTAGACATCTTTGCCTTGTTCCTGATTCTAGAAGCAAAGCTTTTGGTCTTTCAGCACTAAGTATGATGTTAGCCAACAGCCAAGTCAAGTTGACATGTAAAACACCATCATACATTGGAAGAACTCCGAGAGGTGGAGGATGTGGTGTGCTGAGCGCCTGGACCCATGCCCAGCACACAGGTCAGGGAATCCAGACTCCGTGCTGGGCCATGTGCATGGTAAACCCAACGCAGGAGAGATCCACCCCCAGAGTGACACAGCAGGAAGGGTGCACCTGAGATAAATACTCAGAAGACCGTTGTGAGGATTGAGCAAGATAATTTGTTTAAAATAAAATGGTGCCCACATGTAGTCACTATTCAATAAACTGCAGCTATTCTCTGGTGAACGACGGTGTATCTCAGTTCTCTGGTCTCGAGGAGCTGGCCACATGTTCATAAATGCACGCGGTTTCCTTCACTCACCGTGTTATGGTGGATGAACTGCTTAGACTGTTATGGGCTCATGAATCCTTCAGATCATATGCTCTGGGTTTGATTAAAATTCAAGTGCATTTACACATCCTCTTTCTGTAATTTCAATGCCATCCACCTAGGAACAGAAACTGGATGCCTACCCTGATG